GAGTGTCCCCATATATAGTAGTGATGAGTGTCCCCATATATAGCAGTGATGAGTGTGTCCCCATATATAGTAGTGATGTGTGTCCTCATATATAGTAGTGATGAGTGTCCCCATATATAGTAGTGATGAGTGTGTCCCCATATATAGTAGTGATGAGTGTGCCCATATATAGTAGTGATGAGTGTGTCCCCATATATAGTAGTGGTGTGCCCATATACAGTACTGATGAGTGTGTTCCTGCTCACCTTGAGAGCCTGCAGCACAGTATATAACATCTCCTGTGGGGGTACAGTATCAACCATTAACATGTCCACAAATTTATGGACATTCACTCTGTCTCGTATCTTGAAAGCTGCTGGAGGTTCAGACTGTTTTTCAAAAATCTGAAAAAGCAGATAATAAATTATCTTAATCATCCTACTGTGAAAGGGGAAGATATACAGTATCAACAATAGATTATGTCCGTGTTTACACTAGCTGCCATCCTTCTCTATGGCAATGGTGGTAAATTGACAAAGGAAATCAATATCTCAATAAATGTAACAATATCATAAATGCAACTGTTTTGATTAACTTAAGCTAACAATACTCTTAAAAGTAGGATCAAACAGTCAATTCACTTCTATATGATTAACTACCTATCAGACGTCAGCCTTGTATCTATTGTTATATCATTAATGATATGTCAAGTGTTAGGTTTTTTCTTTCTGTTATTAACCTTATTGTCAGACTATTATATCATTAACGGTATGTCAGACATCTGCCTCGTTTCTACTGTTATATCATTAACGATATGTCAGACGTCCGCATCATTTCTACTGTTATATCATTAACGATATGTCAGACATCAGCCTCATTTCTACTGTTATGTCATTAACAATATGTCAGACATCAGCCTCATTTGTACTGTTATATCATTAACGATATGTCAGACATCAGCCTCATTCCTACTGTTATATCATTAACAATATGTCAGACATCGGCCTCATTTGTACTGTTATATCATTAACGATATGTCAGACTTCCGCCTCATTTCTACTGTTATATCATTAACGATATATCAGACGTCAGCCTCATTTCTACTGTTAAATCATTAACGATATGTCAGACATCAGCCTCATTTCTGCTGTTATATCATTAACAATATGTCAGACATCAGCCTCATTTGTACTGTTATATCATTAACGATATGTCAGACGTCACTTTCTTATCTTCTGTTATATCATTAACGATATGTCAGACATCAGCCTCATTTCTACTGCTATATCATTAATGATATGTCAAGTGTTAGGTTTTTTCTTTCTGTTATTAACCTTATTGTCAGACTATTATATCATTAACGGTATGTCAGACATCTGCCTCGTTTCTACTGTTATATCATTAACGATATGTCAGACGTCCTCCTCATTTCTACTGTTATATCATTAACGATATGTCACACATCAGCCTCATTTCTACTGCTATATCATTAATGATATGTCAAGTGTTAGGTTTTTTCTTTCTGTTATTAACCTTATTGTCAGACTATTATATCATTAACGGTATGTCAGACATCTGCCTCGTTTCTACTGTTATATCATTAACGATATGTCAGACGTCCGCCTCATTTGTACTGTTATATCATTAACAATATATCAGACATCAGCCTCATTTCTACTGTTATGTCATTAACAATATGTCAGACATCAGCCTCATTTGTACTGTTATATCATTAACGATATGTCAGACGTCCGCATCATTTCTACTGTTATATCATTAACGATATGTCAGACGTCCGCATCATTTCTACTGTTATATCATTAACGATATGTCAGACGTCCGCATCATTTCTACTGTTATATCATTAACGATATGTCACACATCAGCCTCATTTCTACTGCTATATCATTAATGATATGTCAAGTGTTAGGTTTTTTCTTTCTGTTATTAACCTTATTGTCAGACTATTATATCATTAACGGTATGTCAGACATCTGCCTCGTTTCTTCTGTTATATCATTAACGATATGTCAGACGTCCGCATCATTTCTACTGTTATATCATTAACGATATGTCAGACATCAGCCTCATTTCTGCTGTTATATCATTAACAATATGTCAGACATCAGCCTCATTTGTACTGTTATATCATTAACGATATGTCAGACGTCCGCCTCATTTCTGCTGTTATATCATTAACGATATGTCAGACGTCAGCCTCATTTCTACTGTTAAATCATTAACGATATGTCAGACATCAGCCTCATTTCGACTGTTATATCATTAATGATATGTCAGACATTAGCCTCATTTCTACTGTTATATCATTAACGATATGTCAGACGTCAGCCTCATTTCTACTGTTAAATCATTAACGATATGTCAGACATCAGCCTCATTTCTACTGTTATATCATTAACGATATGTCAGATATCAGCCTCATTTCGACTGTTATATCATTAACGATATGTCAGAAATCAGCCTCATTTCTACTGTTATAGCATTAACAATATGTCAGACATCAGCCTCATTCCTACTGTTATATCATTAACGATATGTCAGACATCAGCCTCATTTCGACTGTTATATCATTAATGATATGTCAGACATTAGCCTCATTTCTACTGTTATATCATTAACGATATGTCAGACGTCACTTTCTTATCTTCTGTTATCATCAACAATATGTTTGGCCTCAGTTTTGATATGAAGTGATATTATCGTCTGATCAGGACCTTGCAGAGAAATGCCATGGAAGCCCGCCACTTAGGTGAAGGTCGCGGTGACAGGGTGTATAACATGGAGGGCAGGAACTGACAGAGCTGGTCTTGGCATGCCCGAAGTGTCTTTATAACCAGTTCCTGAATCAGTGGTGTTTCTGTTACTCTGGTGAGAGATGTCAGGAAACTTGTCAAAATGTGGTTTTGGTTTCTGAAAAGAAAATCAATGTGGATAGAGCAAGGGTGTATAACTTTTCGTGTTTTATGAACTTAACTTTGATTTCCCAATGTTTTTTTCCCTATTAACTAATGGGTTATTCAAGTATCATCCCTGAATTTATGACCTTCACCTTTTAGTTTTATTGATGAGTTATGTACTAATATTCCTTTTCCACCTCGTAAACCTAGTTATTATCATAGAAACTAATTGTCATACTTTGCTTTTTTTAAGAGAAAGGATGTGTTCCTTTTTGGGATACCTCCTTCCTTGAGAGACCTCAACCCTAATCACACTTTGGGCCAAAACTTCAATCTTAGTTATTCATGTGCTGTACGGGTAAGGCATGACACATCAACGTACAACAGAGGATCTGAAAATGAAGGGACCCCACAAAAAACCTTACTGAAACCATTTCTTCTGGATACCTGTACCAATATCTGGGCACAACAACATATAAGTTTAAATAATTAGAAGGGAGGAATCAGCACTAGTACAACACTCACCAAAATCATTGTAAATGGCTATTAGGCCTACAATGGTTGACTATTAAGCCTACAATGGTGACCTTATGTAAAGTAATATAAAAAACAATTTTAGCAGAAATTTAGAATCCCCCAGCCAATACAGTTCAAGGTAATTAGGTCATTCTCCTCTTGCACAAGTTCATTAATTCTGGAACAGTCCTATGTAAATTAGGACCTCTCCAATGTCATAAACATAAAAAGACTTGAACAAATTAAAACAACTCCTTACTGTCCAGAGGTGCCCAGTGATTTGTCATAGAAGTTGATTCCATATTTGTGGGAAGAACACAACTCAACCAGGAGTTGATGAGTGCTATCTGCTACGATTTTCTGATCCTCTGTCTTACTTGTATCATCCACCTGTTAAAAAGACATCACAGGCTTCAAAAATCCAAATGGCAACAACATTTTACCTGAAAATAAACACCTGTTTGATCTATGATAGAACATTGTTTATAGGTTATTTTTCCATACCTGAGAGGGGCACCTGTACATACTGACAGTTTTTAGGCCAAAGACAGAATAACTTTGTTTATATTTTCAATCATATTAAAATTCATAATCATTGCTTCAATTTAGGGGTGTAAAATGTTTATTTTAAGACAAACCCATACTTTCATGTTCAGAATTTGTTTGTAAAAAGATTTTGTAAGCTGTGAAGAATTAACTGACCTCCATTTGGTCATCTTCTGACCGCTTCTGCCATGTACTAGGACCTGTCCAGTGGTACAACTGACCAAGCAATCTCATGTTGGACTCTGTAAACAGCCTGACCTTCAGTGTTTTACTGATCGCAGGGTTCTGGACAACCTGGAAATGAGAACAGTGACTCTCTCCTGACAACGCTAAAATAAGCTTGAAAAATAGGTATCACAGAACAGATTTCTTATAACATCAATTATTGGTATAAGTAAAAACCTGGATCGGATTGAATGTAGATATTAAGCCCTTGTACTTTATTCAAACACATGATTTTTTTAATTTTTAAATCAGGGATCTCTCATCCAATGGGGGCTAGTTGCTAATTAATATGTGATGACAGTGGGTATAAACATTAAACAGCCACAAAAGAGCTGTCAATTCATTACGATTGAAAACATGGTTTACCGAAACGGAAATGTAAGTCGTGACTATAAAATCGAAACTGGACACTGACATTCAATCCGGAATTCATTCTCTCGTCGCTGGGATGGGATTAAGTGTTAATAAAAAATAACATTAACGTAAGAAAGCAAATTTATTCACAATTACCTATAGTTATGAAAATACTGGAAGTTTTAGGTATTGGTTTATTTTTTTTCAACAAATGAAGATTTAATATCTCCTATGTTTTGAGATATATTTTTTTCTAACCTGGGTTAACATCGACATCCCATTTTAATTTTAATTCTTTTAATTATCATTATTTTTTGTCTTTGATAAAAGATTGTGATATATTTATTTTTAAATGTTTATAGCTATATCTGGACCCCCAAAAATTCTTTAAAATACCAATAAATCTCCAATTTTGGTTCCAACGAAGTAATCAGAAACCTCAGAACAACACCATTGATTTAATACTAAATTATATGCAGCATTATTTCTGTTTTAAATTTGTCTCACAAATTTCTCACTAGTTCAGAGAAAAAATCTCACTATTTTTGACCAAATCTCACAAAAAATCTCACTGATCTTATATTTTGCACTGAAAAGTTATGGCATGTATAGAATAGAAATGTATCGGTACTGGTTTTACCTTATGAAGCAGAGTAGACGTCACCATCTGTATGTTACCTATACTGTCAGCATGAAGCCCAGGTATCAGGCTACCAAGGAAACCTAAAATCAAAAATCACACAATATCATGTGTAAAAACTCACAATTTAATTACATGTTTTATTTTGATTAAGATAATTTTACAAAACAGAAAAAAACAGTAGAAAACATCTTTTATTAGTTCTGCAGAGATGATTTTTATGTACAACAGAGTTAAGAAGCGAACACCTCAGAAGTAATGGTTATCTCTGATATAACAGAAAACAGACACAACATCAGTCCTTATCTACCTGGTAGAGTTTATACCTCTGATATAACAGGCACAACATCAGTCCTTATCTACCTGCTAGAGTTTATACCTCTGATATAACAGACCCCAGACACAACATCAGTCCTTAACTTCCTGGCAGAGTTTATACCTCTGATATAACAGGCACAACATCAGTCCTTATCTACCTGGTAGACTTTATACCTCTGATATAACAGACAACATACACAACATCAGTCCTTATCTACCTGGTAGACTTTATACCTCTGATATAACAGACAACAGACTCAACATCAGTCCTTATCTACCTGGTAGTGTTTATACCTCTGATATAACAGACACAACATAAGTCCTTATCTACCTGGTAGAGTTTACACCTCTGATATAACAGTCAACAAACACAACATCAGTCCTTATCTACCTGGTAGTGTTTATACCTCTGATATAACAGACATCAGACACAACATCAGTCCTTATCTACCAGGCAGAGTTTATACCTCTGATATAACAGGCACAACATCAGTCCTTATCTACCTGCTAGAGTTTATACCTCTGATATAACAGGCACAACATCAGTCCTTATCTACCTGGTAGACTTTATACCTCTGATATAACAGACACAACATCAGACCTTATCTACCTGGTAGAGTTTATACCTCTAATATAACAGACAACAGACACAGCATCAGTCCTTATCTACCTGGTAGACTTTATACCTCTGATATAACAGACAATAGACACAACATCAGTCCTTATCTACATGGTAGAGTTTATACCTCTGATATAAAAGACAATAGACACAACATCAGTCCTTATCTACATGGTAGAGTTTATACCTCTGATATAAAAGACAATAGACACAACATCAGTCCTTATCTACCGGGTAGAGTTTATACCTCTGATATAAAAGACAATAGACACAACATCAGTCCTTATCTACCTGGTAGTGTTTATACCTCTGATATAACAGACAACAGACTCAACATCAGTCCTTATCTACCTGGTAGAGTTTACACCTCTGATATAACAGTCAACAAACACAACATCAGTCCTTATCTACCTGGTAGACTTTATACCTCTGATATAACAGACAACAAACGCAGCATCAGTCCTTATCTACCTGGTAGACTTTATACCTCTGATATAACAGACAACAGACTCAACATCAGTCCTTATCTACCTGGTAGTGTTTATACCTCTGATATAACAGACAACAGACTCAACATCAGTCCTTATCTACCTGGTAGACTTTATACCTCTGATATAACAGACAACAGACTCAACATCAGTCCTTATCTACCTGGTAGACTTTATACCTCTGATATAACAGACACAACATCCGTCCTTATCTACCTGGTATAGTTTATACCTCTGATATAACAGACCCCAGACACAACATCAGTCCTTATCTACCAGGCAGAGTTTATACCTCTGATATAACAGGCACAACATCAGTCCTTATCTACCTGGCAGAGTTTATACCTCTGATATAACAGACACAACATCAGTCCTTATCTACCTGGTAGAGTTTATACCTCTGATATAACAGACACAACATCAGTACTTATCTACCTGGTAGAGTTTATTCCTCTGATATAACAGACAACAGACACAGCATCAGTCCTTATCTACCTGGCAGAGTTTATACATCTGATATAACAGACACAACATAAGTCCTTATCTACCTGGTAGATTTTATACCTCTGATATAACAGACACAACATCAGACCTTATCTACCTGGTAGAGTTTATCCCTCTGATATAACAGACACAACATCAGTCGTTATCTACCTGGTAGAGTTTATTCCTCTGATATAACAGACAACATACACAACATCAGTCCTTATCTACCTGGTAGAGTTTATACCTTTGATATAACAGACGACAAACACAACATCAGTCCTTATCTACCTGGTAGAGTTTATACCTCTGATATAACAGACAACATACACCACATCAGTCCTTATCTACCTGGTATAGTTTATACCTTTGATATAACAGACGCCAAACACAACATCAGTCCTTATCTCCCTGGTAGAGTTTATACCTCTGATATAAGAGACAACAGACACAACATCAGTCCTTCTCTACCTGGTAGAGTTTATACCTCTGATATAAGAGACAACAGACACAACATCAGTCCTTCTCTACCTGGTAGAGTTTATACCTCTCATATAACAGACAACAGACACAACATCAGTCCTTATCTACCTGGTAGAGTTAATACCTCTGATTCTAAGACTGACCTCTTTGCTCCGCCAACTGTTTGATGACATCATCACTCCCAATGATCAGGAACGACATCATAAAGTGAAGCAGACACGTACGTACATCATTAGGATCCTGAAGCACAACAGAATAAAATTACAGTGTACTTATCGCTACAAACATTACAGTTGCATGAAAGCTGATGCACACATGCACAGATGGGGTACATGTTCTAAAACTAGCTTACTACTATATATTCTTCTTTAAGTGGGGGTAAAGTTAGCAAAAGAAATCATTTATCTACAGTATAATTTGTCTTTTCTTGAAAGTTGTCAAGCTCAAAATGTGTCAGTGTGTATGGCTATAGGTTTACTAGAGCCCATATAATGATGGTGCAGCATGCGCAACACTCTTGAACAGCTTACCTTCTTTGTAGCCCATTCCAATGATAGTAGAGAATGACAACTATCATTTTTTTCATAAGCAATGACTTGTGTATCAGTAGTGACACTAGAAAGGATTAATTAATGCTAAAACTACACATGCTAAACGACACATGAGAGCAGTATATCTACCATCGTATGGCATTGCCACTATATAACCCTACCAAATTCAGTTCCCGGGCGATGGCTGTCTATTAATTGAACAAGCATACACAATACATACATTATCTGAGCTAAATGCTGAATGATGATGAGTGAAAAAAGATCCTTTTTGTGAGATGAACAGATTCCAAAAATGGTAAAAAGAGGTATTGAACTGCTTTCATTTGGCATTCAAAGGCAATATGAATTCCATCTGGACAAAGGCAAATCCAACATGAAGCGCTAACACACTACATTGAATTTTTCTTTGTCCAGTTGGCATTCATATTGGCTATGAATGCCAACTGAAAGTAGTTTGATGCTTTACTAGTATGCACCTCTAACAAACCAACAGCTATAAACTGTCAAGAGACTATGATCATAGCAGAATGGGTGCTGAAAACTTACAAAATTCTTTGATATACCTGAAAGCATATAGCATCCATGAAAACATAATACAGATGCTTTCTTGCTTAGCTGTTGTGATATGTCATTTTACAATCTAGTTTTGAAAACTGAAAGTGCACCAACATAACTTTAATGGTCATTGGTAAAGAATTACTTTCTAGAGTTGGTTACAATATTTTAAACCAGCCTTTGTTTATGGCACAAGATTGATGCCCACCCTACCTTTTTGTCTCTGCGGTTCAATAATGGTGGCAAGACTGGATTCCCTACCTTTTTGTCTCTGCGGTTCAATAATGGTGGCAAGACTGGATTGTTGAAGTCAAATTGAGCAAGAATCATTCGTGCTGACCGGTCTCCCAACATGACCATAGCAGTCAGCAGCTTGAGGGTAACCTTGATGTGGCCAGACTTGTTGGTCATCAAAAGTGTGAAGTAGATGGTGGCCATTTGGGAGGACAAAAGTCTTTGGACGATGTTCTGACCAACCATGGAGAACTTGTCAAGGTCATCTGCAATCCTGAGCAATATGGCCTCCAGCGATCTAAATATAGCTGCCACCTGGTCCAAAAACACAGTTTTTTAATACTAGATTGTCAGAATATATGATCTTATTAAGGATTTATCTATTTCCTTCAGCAAGATTGAATTTGGAAAAAGATAACTTTGCCTGACATTTTGGAAGAATCAAAGTTCTGTAATATCTTGTTTCTGTGATATTTTATCTACTGTATTACTTGCCGAGAAAGCATCTCTGTTTTATAAAGACCAAATATGTTGTATTGGCAGTGACATGAAACACATACACCAGTTAGAAAACTGTATGATAAAATTTGAATCTAAAAAGGCATGAATTATTTAAATGATAATACCTCGCCTGGTTTTCTTTTTCCTGCTTCGAGAACTTTGAATATTTCGCTGCATTCTGCTGATGATTGGCAGTACCTTGCGACAATATCATATCCCTGCTCTTGTGACCACTGCTGTGCAGTCTCAGAAAACTTATCAAAAGCTGAAAAACATATATAAAAGATGCAGATTTAATCCTATAGCGATGTTTGAATTTGTTTTTTTTTACACATTTTGGAATTGTGTTACTTGCATACTGCATCATCAGAAATGATTCTTATGGAGCACCATTCTAAAATAATTACACTTTTTGAAATTCGGTAGGCATTTGCTAGCTGCAAAGTCTTTTCTGAGGTTAGATGTATACCTGTCAGATAGGGGTCAGGGGATTCTTTATTTTAAAACTGTGTATTGTTATGATTTTTATTAACTGTGATGATCGTTAATGTACATTAGTTAAATGCTTAAAAAAACATAAACTGTAAATTAATTGAATGTTTCAATAAATTCAAATTTGAATTTTCCTGTCATTTTGTTTCTAGTCTTTGCAAAGTTTAGTAACGATGATAAGACTTTTCATTCAAGTCCTTCATGCATAAATATTTGCTAATTACCCTTTAGCTCCAGACAGACTTTTCTACTTTACTTGTGTATACCAGAACTTGATTAAGTTAACTGTTACATTGTAAAGCATTATCACGTTTGAACTGTCAAAGTAAGAGAGAATGGGGAATTCAATATTGCTGTGTTCAAGGTGAGAGCTTGAGTGGTTTAACATGAATTGTGAGTGGCTTTGGTTACTGTAGCCAAAAAACAGTAAAATAATGAATTGCAACATTCAGGGTTGATGTCTAACCATCCAAGGAGCAGTAGACCATGAGTTACCATCCATCCCTCAATGGACTGCAGGAAGTTCCTGTGGCTGTGACAGTTACAACACACACACAAGAAGGCCTAATATACAGCTCCTGTATTAATGCATCAGCTAGTGGTTTTAATTCTCTTTTATAGCTCATCAGCATTTAGCCAGAGGTATCCGACTATGAAGTCAGGGGTAGTAGCTGGTTCGATCCCCAGCATAGATACACACATCCGATATTCCTTTCAGAATAGAATGCTCTTATGTTATTAAACCTGCATTTTCCTGGCTCCGAAATTACATTACCATTAAATGTTACGGTCAGAGACACATCAGCCAGGCATACCTGTCAACCTGCAGAGGCTCCAAATCTGGTCATGACCAGACCTGGATACTCAAATATCTGGTCATAGTATGTGAGCTGTTTTTACGGCTTTACAGTGCTTCGTCGCAAATTTGGACGGTAATGAATGTTATTGACAAAGTATCAAACAAAATCAAATAGATTGTAATACAGTGTGATTTATTGATGCCCTTTGTTGTAGCCTTGTGATACAGCCTTTGCAACTTGCAAAACTTTGGGGGAACACACAGACTCCACATTAAATTTGCACACATCAGTGTGTTGTAAAATTCACTCCTGTAATCTGTTTGTATTTCTCACTGTTGGCGCAATGCCAATCTAAAACATTTCAGCCTGAAATAAAACGTAGTCATGAAGTTAAGTTGACAATAAAAAATGTATTTTCAATTTAATTTGAATTTGTACACAACAGTTCGAACTACCTGGAATTACCTATGTATATTATAGGTACAAGAAGTTGACATTGATATATCTCTTGTTTAGAAACTGTGCTACGTTGCTGTAACAAATTTGAATTCTGTTTCCCATGTGTTTTGATAAATTAACTACCTGGAATTATGTATATTATAGGTACAAGAAGTTGACATTGACAATTGATATATCTCTTGTTTAGAAACTGTGCTACGTTGCTGTAACAAATTTGAATTCTGTTTCCCATGTGTTTTGATAAATTAACTACCTGGAATTATGTATATTATTGGTACAAGAAGTTGACATTGAGAATTGATATATCTCTTGTTTAGAAACTGTGCTACGTTGCTGTAACAAATTTGAATTCTGTTTCCCATGTATTTTGATAAATGCAGTCATATCTTTATGTTTTTGGCTAAGTGTTGCAATGACAGCAGGCTCCGATTATCACGAAAAATATCTGTCGTTCAGGTTGTGAACACAATTCACAAAGTTTTGACAGCGTCTAGTGTTGGGAATCGGATCAGATATTATTATCGATTATCGGAAGACTTGTCATGAACAATTAATCGATTATAATCGGAATATCAAAACTTTGGTAAATATATTGTGAAGTGTATAGAAAAATAACGAAACTACAATATGCGGCTATCTTTACCTAATAGCGAGAGTACATACTTCCGGCCTTAACATACATGCTATAACTATCCAGTGCAAAATAGTGAGATCAGTGATTTTTTTAGTGAGATTTGGTAAAATAATGAGATTTTTTTCTCTGAATTAGTGAGAAAATTGTGAGACATCTAAAACAAATCATTCGGCATATTACATAGTATTATCTCATTTGTGTTATTCTGAAGCCTCTTTTGGAACCAAAATTGGAGATTTATCGATATTTTAAAGAATTTTAGGATGAGGTTTACATGTGGATACGGTTCGGATATAGTAATATAAAAAGTAAACAAATAATAAGAATAGTAAAAAGAATTGCTTAACAGTTCACACATCGGTGAGTTTGACAGCAAGCCATTTGCAGCGAAAACAGACAGCCATTCACAACTTTCACAGCTAGGCTATGCTGCTAATTGGTATGGCTTGTAATTAAAGTGGCTATAGACTGTACATGTGCTTTTAGACCTCTTGGTGACCAAGGTCTGAGTGTGAATCCATGTATTTATTGTTTATTAATTAAGGTTTACCAAACTTTGATTCTTTTTGTGAGACCGATTGAAAATTCATGAGAAATGTGCCTTCACCTGACACTTCAAACAACACACGTACGCTGGAAAATTTTTTGGATACATTGTAGTTTTAAGTGAATCTAGCATATTTATGCAGTTTTTCATAATTTGATTTTACGAAATTGTAATCGAGCGCTTACTTTGTCACCAATATCGATCGACTTTCGACTTATTTCGATAATCGGAACACCACTAACAGCGACATTTCAAAACATGTGTTCCGAGTGTTTCCGGTTTGACAGAGTCTGAATGTTTGGTCATATCGGGTGTATGGTTTGAATATCGGGAGAAACGATGACCATCAGGTGAAGTATTTGATCAAGTGAGACTCGCCGAAACAGGTCAGTTGACAAGTATGGCTAATAAAATTTAACCAATCAAGACAACGTATTTCTACAATGTGTTTTTCCAAACAATTATTGTAATTAATATCAGTATTCAAGCTGCATCCCCGAGTCTGAGAACAGTACAATGAATATTCATACCCTGCCTACTCTCCCCTCCGGCAGAAATCGTGGTTCGGTCGTCCCGAGCTAAGTTATCGCAGCTAGAGAACAGGGCAAGGGGTTCTTTATGTTTAGGTTTGCTGTTGACCCATATCAGTATAGCAAACATATTTTCAGACATTTGTAATTAAGGAAACCCTGTGGTCTGAGAAATTCTTGATATGTTCACTGGGGCATACAACTACTATTAATATTGATCTTGTTAGACTTTCAGTCGCTGGGTACGTTATATCCCAATACTGGAATCAATATAATAGTAGTTGAGTGCATTGATCTTGTTAGACTTTCAGTCGCTGCCTGGGAACGGTATATCCCAAACCGTACCCAGGCGGCGACTGAAAGTCAAACAAGATCAATATTAAAAGTAGTTGCTTTCAATGCCCCTGTGATCTGTTTTGCACAAGTGCACTAGCACTTGAGTTGGTGGAAGACAACGCATTTCAAACTACAAAAATCGCAGTTGCGAGAGATTGACAATAACAATACGTTGGCTTCTTAATGGGTAAGGTTTAAATGAGAGTATATCATCATATTGCACAAATTGAATAGATCACATTTTCATCTGATAATGTCAGCCAGTGTCGTGCAAAAAAATCATCGAACCTGAAAAAGTTGTTGCTGGATCTCTCAAAAGGTATTTAAATGTAATCTCTGTGAATTCTTCTGTCTTGTTTTTCTTTTTTGGTGACTCGGTGTCATGTTTATCTTCCGCAGACTTTTTCTTTTTCCTCTTTTGCGGTAAATTGTTATCCTCCGTCATGTTTACCAAATCCCATGTGCTCGTGTATTTAAATCGGAAGCTCTCGTCTTTTTACCTCCCATGACCTTAATTTAGGATAAATCCAAAGGTAGTCCGATAAGTACACAAATATTGATGACGTAGGAATGTATGACTTCATTTCCCACTCAACATCACAAGAGAAGTGGTCATTTCTCAATCACGATTTTAGAATTTGCAGTCAGATCTCAAATCCAATCACACAGGAACGTTGGTCACAGAAAACAGAAAAGAAAGATGTCGATGGACAGTATCCTTTAAACTATTTGTGAAATATTTCTGGTAATAAGGAAATGGTAAGATGTTGATTATCAAAGATGGTTTGGAGATCATGAAAATGTAAACATTGGAAATCACGATTTCCTGGATCAGTCACAGGGTCGAATTCAGGTCGTTTAGGTACCTGGTCGTTTCGGTACTTCTGAAAGTTGTTTTGGTACTTCTGAAAATCGTTTAGGTACTTATGGAAAACACACTTTGGTACCAAGTTTTAGTCAAAGTCACCACTTTTTGATATAAGCACGAACTTGATATCTAATATGTCGGTGACATAAGTTTTTTTTGTACACGTCATGAATCATGAATACCAAAATCAAAACAAGATTAATATTATTACATTGTTGAATAATTTTATATATATAATATGTTTAATTCATATTTCAATATTCAATAATTTCTAAGTATAACAGGACATATATATATGCATTAATAATAATTAATTAAGAATAATAATAATACTAAAACACATAACAATAACAATAGGTATTTCCATCCGAAACGGAAATCCCTAATTATTAGCTAAGTCTAACGGGACATATATATAACATATGTTTAATTCATATTTCAATAATTTCTAAGTATACATCTGTAGCGGGACATATATATATAACCGTCATTTTTATGACAAGTTGTTGAATTCCCTCAACGTTGAGCTACTCCGATCTACTCAGCTGCTCAGTTAAAAAAGCAAACGTTAAATAAACAACCATCGTGTATGTTGCGGGATCACATTTGAAGTTTGAAAACAATGATTGACTGATCTGCTTGATTGTTTTAACAACTACGAAAGCAAACGTTAAATAATATTTATCAACTAATAAACGAAGTACCGAAAATAAACAACCAACAATAAATGACAAATGAGAAATATTTATGAACTAAAAAACGAAGTACCGAAAAAATCGTTGAAGTACCGAAACTACTTACAAAAAGTACCGAAACCTCTTATTTTTGAAGTACCGAAACTACCGTGTACCGAAACGACTGTACCCCACAGGGTCTTGCAAACAAAACCTTTTGATTCAGTGACTACATTACTTATCTGTTTACTTTAGTACTATGCGAATGAATATTCTATTCTTCAGTGTTTATTTTAGACGAAGGTTTTATTTTTAGTACAGTTGTCAAAAGAGCGCACCTGTATTATATATATGTATCGTCTAGTCATCAGTTTCCGCTCGATATGTATTTCCGCGCAGCTGTTTTATCAAGCTATATCTCGTTACTACGTGACCTGCTGGACACAACACAAGGATGTTTTAGACGTTTGGCCATCTAAGTATAAGCCAATATAACTTTTATATAAATAATATAAGTGGGGTAGAGTCCACATCTTTCTCTTATAATGCAATAAAGGACTGGAATGCATTACCAGAAAATATTAAGGCAACCAAGAACTGACATAGATTCAAATTTCTGGTCAAACAACATTTGACATCAAATTTTAGATCAGAACGAAAATGTGATTTTTTGATAGGGTAATGGTGAGACTTCACTGATATACTCTATTACTTCTCAATTCAAATATACATTTGACTTAAATCCTATTTCCATTCCATTTTTTATGTTGTGTCAGATTTTTATTAGTATAAGTTATATACCACTACATATAATCAATTATATACATTTCAAATACATTTTTCTGATAGGGATAGAGTTCCTAAAGGTCAGGACCGAGTTGATATGACCAACACCGAATCAGAACTTTTTCCAAATACAGCTCAGTCGGATTGTATGTTACTATATAATAGGTAAACAATCTTCAAACTATTATTATCCCGCCCCTCAAAATGAACCCATACCTTAAAAAAAACGGTGATATATTTCATTCATGAACCAGTCCTTTTTGTAATCTGACAAATGTACGGGAATGTTGTATGCAAATGAGCCCACATCTCCTCACCGATTTTTTCCACTTCCGAAGAGCCAAGGAGACATTCTTATATCGATAAACAGTGTTTTCAATGAAACGTAAACCTTGTAATGCAATGAACTTCCAATTTTCACCAATTTTAAACAGAACAAAATGAGAAACAACGTGCCATCAACCAAAACCAATATAAGACTGCAGAAAATGATAATAACAGATTCTATATCATAACTAAATAAATATAATAAATAAATTTATAAAATTACATGAATTCGTTCAATTCGACATCTTGAAAAATCAATTAAAAATGAGAAATTTAAAAAAATGTGTTTTGATAATTAATTTGATCATCAAAGATGTTTTTTTTTATTCCAAGCGAAGCTTTTGTTCTTGCAGGTCACTGTAGAGAGTTTCTTTTTAGTGTATTCGAGTTATCTTTCTTTGAACTCTAAATCAAAATAGACACGGAAACATATGACGGCTACTTCTGATGGGAGAAATTTGTTTGTTCAGGTTTTTTTAAAATACTGTTTTATGTTGCAAGTTTTTTGTTTCCTTTAGTAGATTGTATACATGTTTATGACAGTCTTCCATAATTTCAACAGTTTTCTGCTGATATGAGTACGAATTGCGGATGCTTCTTAAGTGCGCGGAAACTGGTAACCCGAGGATACTGTAGTTGATCTAGGTCTGCAGATCTGCTTTATTTTAAGTGAAGTTTTGATAATCATTGTCATTACTACGTAAGCTCCATCGTATTATACAACACTGAGTTTTGTTAAATACACTTGTTCTTTGCCATTATTTTTAAGGGTGAGACAAAATAACCACAGTTTTTCAAAATTGTATTGTTTAGTTTTTTAAAGGAAATGAGCATGATCTGATGCATCACATCGTTATGAGATACAGCTGGATAAAACAGCGGCACAAAACAATATCACACACAGAAACCTTCGATGAGATGATATACCTGATACTGTATCGGATCTCATCAGGTGAATGATATGTGTATATTACATATGAACATTATATACTGTTGCTATCACACATTTTTTATAGAGGTCAACATTTGAATTTAGTTTATTTTACTCATTTACATGACCATCCCACTGATTTCTCCAGGTTTGGAAAAAAGGAGGGAAGATTGATATGTGCATTGGTAGTGTATGTTTTTAGGCAGTATTTCAAAATTTAGGGTTGGATGTACATGTAATACACAATTTATCCCAATCGCAAAAAAAAAGTTATTCAGGTCAATCCGTATCATAAAAAGATAATGCCAAATTCATTGTACATGAATGATTATTATACATGTATATAGCTCCTGATATATTATTTTCAAAAACTTTGTATTATGATCACATTAAGATTTTAAAGTTATTTCTGCACTAGTTACCTTGATCTGATCCTGATGTTGCACTGTAACTTTGTAATATAGAAAATTCCATATATTTGAAATCAATGTATACGTAGTACATGTATATATATTACGTAAATTTCTTTGCATGTGAACATATTATAGTATTTATCAATGTTGATATTTATATGTGATTTATATGTATTGCATGTCTTGACTGATATACCTTAACAGTCCATAGAGCATCTATTTAATCTCAAGTTCGCTGCAAAGGACTTGGAGCGCAATGCAAAGCGAAGTGAAAAGTCAGAAAAAGAAGAAAAAACCAAATTAAAAAAGGTAAAAGTTTTGCACAGTAAGTTAATTATAGCGCAAAGTTATCTTTTTTGAAAACAGTACCGGTATGTTACAGGTAAGTACATACAGTATTACAAAACTGTAGGTATCAGTATTCACATATGAAATCATTGTGCTGGTGTAAAAGAATCTCATGTACCTGTACATATACCCAACAGGGTATTAAACTTATATTTCTATTGAAGTACCGAATCATACACTTACTCCATTACAGACCTCTCTTAAATTTGTATGCTTTCTATGAATGATCTGCATTGTAATAAAAACATTATCATATACCAGGTATTATAGCACATGCAGTACAATATATATAGTAAACAGTTATATAATGGACATGACAGTTTTAGTCTTAAGTTGTCCCTGAAATGCAATATAGATGTATTTCCAGAGGTCAAAGGGCAAGAGCGGGACAATAAAATGACTATTTCACCAGTGACCAATTTTTAGCTGCTTTATTAAACAGATATAATGCAAACCAAACCTGTAAACATATATAGTAAGTTTCTACATGGTCAGGTATTCTAACACTTGGTGATAACAAACATACCTTAACACACTACAGGGCACCTCTTTAATTTGAAATACAGTGCTAGGTCACTACAGCGTTTCGCTGTTAAATGCGATAAGGAAGAAAGAGCAGAAAAAAGAAAATTAAAAAAGGTGAGTTTCTCTTTAGGTGAATACATTTTATTGTATATAAAAAATCATAATATATTTTGGCAATATTACACATGTAGCATTGAACTCTAACTCACCAATTATATTCATGTTACATGTACTTGTAAGGACAGTCGTGACAAAAAGTACCAAACCTAGCACCAATTTGCAATGTTACAAACTTGTCTATTAAAACTAACATCTTATTGTAAGAGAGCTTCTCACTACATTCATTAGTTTGATTGGCTTTTATCCAATGTGATCGTAGATTCCCAGAAAGAGAGGTGTACATCTTACATGCAAAATTCTCAGGACTAGTAGATTTTATGTTTGGGCAAAATCAACCTGCAGGCTAGTACTTTTTCATATAAAATTGTTCACTCCTGAGGAAGGGGATGAAACAGCCGAGACTACATGTACATGCTGGGTCCATGCCAGTTCCCTTTTTACCCGGTAGATAGTATCACATCTTATAAGCTTAAAGTAATTGTAAGGGTTCAGATAGACCAAGGTTCTTACCTTTTTTGACAAAACGATGATCTTGTCACAGGCTATCCAGAAAGGTAACCTAGAAGGAGCCCGAATACATGCAGAGAACTCCATCCGCCAGAAGAATCAGGCCCTCAACTACAGACGCATGAGTGCAAGGATCGATGCTGTGGCTGCCCGGGTACAAACAGCTGTCACCATGAAACAGGTAGATGCACGCTATAGCTACTATGTGAAATATATTGAAAAAAGGTTGTAAGGGATTTATGTCTCTTTTTGGATTTCCATCCAAAATTAAATGGCTTTTTCTGATGGTGATACTAATACCTACACGGGTGGAATCTAGCATTTGTTACAAACTAAGAAACTTTATGTATGTTTAGATTTGCTCAGCATTGCCACTGAATAAACCTAAACCAAGTCAGCTATGATTAAATGCAGGAAAAAAATTGTAGCATGCACACCAACATTACTTGATTTGTCAGCAATCCTGTGAAGAATTTAAGGACCATAACTCTGAACAGAGTGCAGTTCAATACTTAGAAAATACACATATATTTAGTACTGGATTTCTTATGATCCAGTTTAGATGAGATTCTCTAGAATTGATGCTACTCAATAGTTCTTAATATGATGAACACTTACATAATTATAGAATAATTCTGTGATAAAGAATTGCTAGGTTTGAATAGCTGAGGGTCAGTTTCTTGCATTTGATTCTATAAATAATGCAAACATTCTCTGATGTAGATGTTTTTGATTGACAGGTGACAGGTTCCATGGCAGGTGTGGTCAAGTCTATGGAATCAGCAATGAAGAGTATGAATCTGGAGAAAGTAGGTCTAGTTTTTTTTTTAGCTCACCTGGCCCGAAGAGCCAAGTGAGCTTATGCCATGGCGCGGCGTCCGTCCATCGTCCTGTGTTAATATTTTACTTTAAATGCCTTTTCTTAATAACCACAAGGCCTAGGGTGATGATATTTGGCCAGAAGTAAACTGGGATGAAGGGCTACCAAGTTTGTTTAAATGAATGACCACTCATATTCCAGGTCACAAAGGTCAAATATGTTTAAACTTTAAATGACTTCTTCTGAATAACCATAAGGCCTAGAATGTTGATATTTGGCCAGTAGCATGCTTGAATGAAGGGCAATCAAACCTTTTCACTTAAATGACCTTCACCCACTTTCAAGGTCACATTGAGTCAAAAATGTATAAACAGTTAAATGACCTATTCTCAATCAACAAAAGGTCTAGGGTGGTGATATTTTGCAAGTTGCATACTGAGATGAAGGGCTATAAAGTTTGTTCCACTTTCAAGGCCACAGGGGTCAAATGTTTTAAAATCTTTTAACAGGTTCTTCTGAATGACTTGTAGTCATAAAGACTGATATTTTGTCTGTAGCTTTATTTTAGATCCCTTTTAAGGTTACAAATGTGATATTAATACTAGGTGAGCAATGCAGGCCTACTGGATCTCTTGTTCTTTTCTTTTATTATGATAGATTGACATCTGGATACTGTTTCTAATAAAGTTAATGAGTGTAAATTCAGGTTAGTTGTCTCTATTATTTCATCACAATTATTTAAGGTCATACAATTATACCTCCCACCACTTCCCCATAAAGTAAAGGGATGTATATGTGTCTGTCCTTGTACACCTTGTTCAGTCCCTATCTTTTGATCACTTCAAGATATCACTTCAAGTAGATGTTCATGTTTTGACTTAAAGGTATATCACCTAGCACTCTCAGGTCTATATCCCAAAGGTCAAGGTCTTATTAAAGGTTAAAAGGTCAAATGTTTTTCCAGACTGTAACTGATCGGCATAGCATTTTGTTTTGAAATAAAATATTGTGCATGTCATGACTAGATGTTCCAGTAATTCGTGTAGCACTTTCAGGTCAGTAGTCCTAAGGACAAAGCTTTTTGTCTCAAAGGTCAAATGCTTATTTCATATCAGCACATTTTGTTTTAACTTAATAAGTTAGTATGCCATGACTAGAGTGTATCCTAAGACTTTCTGTGTCATACCCCATTGACCAAAGGTCAAGGTCATTGCAAGTTGTCAATGCTCCAACCAGTGTACTGCTAGCATATTACTTCTGTATTACATTATGCACAGTAAACACTCATGAAAAAGAAGAATTTGGAGGCAAAGGTAGAACAGAAGGAATCTTACATGGCAATGTGTACTAGTGTCAGTGAGTGTAATGTACTCTTGGTGTTATGATCCAGTACATAGAGATAGGAACGGTTCATTAACTGATACAATTAAAAATTGTAGCTTATTGACGTTGTGTTGTCCTTCAGATTTAATTTAGATATAATCATACTTTTTTGAACAGATCTCACAGTTGATGGACCGGTTTGAACAACAGTTTGAGAATCTGGATGTGCAGTCACAGGTGATGGAAGACACAATGAATGCATCGTCCACCCTCAACACCCCCCAGACACAGGTGGAGGGACTGATGCAGGAGGTCGCTGATGAGGCTGGGTATGTTCAGTTACTATGAACACCAAAGAAGGCTACTTACATTTTCCTGAGATTAACCATGATGTTGAACAGTTCCTTTAAGTTACTTATCTACTTTACATGCTATTTCAAAGACACATTGTTGCATTTTTATGATGAATTAAAAGAAATGTATATTACATATCATGGAAATAACTTCAGGTAGAGGTTGAACTATAGGTCTTTGAATGGTAGCATGTTGCATTTATTGGCTGGCACATACAATGAATCAAAATTAAAAAAATATGATATTGTAAATAGTTGGATTTTCATTTCAGTACTTATATACATCTGTCCATGAGTGTCAGGAAAAAGCAGCAATTTTTTGTAAAAAAAATAAAATATATGAATCTTGTCTAGCTATCTTTACATAATGTATTGTAGTTAAAATGTATCGTGTTTACTGTTACAGTTTGGAATTAAACATGGACCTTCCATCAGCGCAGTCCTCCTTACCTTCTGGAGTAGCCTCATCAAATGCTAGTAATGAACAGGTAGGTTTCTGTCAGGTCTTTTAGTTAGCATACCTTAATATGTCAAGTCAATTAAGAACCCCAGCAAGCTAACATCTTGGCCAACAAGAGTGATTTATATAAGTTGTAAAAACAAGTTTATATTATGTCAAATCTCCTCTGTAAATGAAATAAACAACTTCAATGTACTGCCTATTCTACGTGTGTCATTATAGCCACTTTTGGTAATACTTAATGAATTTACCGGTCATACCTTACTTGTACCAGCGTAATTCAAGTTAATATTCTCTTTTTCAGGACGAGCTTACGCAGCGACTTGCAAAGTTACGGAATTGATCACCATAAGTCATCAACTTCATTGTGATACAAGCAACTATAGACTTGACATTTTAATGGACGCCTTTGAATATAAAGAGTTTTAACTGTAAAAGAATTACCCGCCCTTAGTCAGAGCTCAAAAGGATGGCTGCCCTCCTGATGCCATTAAACATGAAGATTGCTGACCAAGGTTAACCTAGTAAGAGATGAGGCTTAACATAAGTAAGCTCCGGCAATCCACTGGCTCAGACGGTGCTTTGTAACATTGTTCTGGATGGAGAGGATTGTGGTTGTCAATGTTGAGTAGAAGTAGTTGAGAAAACCTGTGACATGCAACTTTCAATTGTATTTTCTGTTACAATTTAGTTTTAAAAGTGTTTTCCTTGTAAAATGTGAAAACATTTTGGAAAACCAGGGAGCTGTATATTAATTGTTACAAATATGCTAACATTGGTATTTTCCTGGCCTATCAATGCATATGCCATACAGGAACTCTTTTGCGCCCGTTAGTTTGAGTCATTGTTAGTGCTTTCAGAAAGATGTAACACATATGTGAAAGGAGAAAACCATTTCCTTTATCATTTTCATTCATTTCAAACCCTTGATTTATATGAGAAACTGCAAAATAGCACTAATAGTGCTCTGTTAAGTTTTGTGATCTGAGCAGGGTGTTTTTAACAACCCACCAATGAGCAGTGGTCAAAGGGAGACAATAGAATGATGTAGTAAAGAAAGATTACAATACTTTTGCTTCTTTGTACATTGATACAGAAATATGTTTATAGATTCATGTGCAACATACAAAGAACAAATTGGAAATTGATGTTTTAGAGACAATAATATTATTGATATAATTGTGAAACCTTAAAAATATTGTATGTTCATGTACAGTATATATACCTGAAGGGGAAATCATAGTTGAAATTTTCCACTTTCCTTAATATAAAAATAGTCATATGAGTTTCCTATGTATATGATACTGGTAAAGTCTGATAGAAAATGTGATTCAATTTGTTAGGGTGATGTGTGTTTGTAAACTGCTCCACGGATGTGTGTGAAGTGTGACAGAGTGTGACACAATCTGTCCTAGTGGTAACTAGTTACTGGTATACTGCACCATGGATGTGTGTGAAGTGTGACAGAGTGTGACACAATCTGTCCTAGTGGTAATTAGTTACTGGTATACTGCTCCATGGATGTGTGTGACGTGTGGCAGAGTGTGACACGATCTGTCCTAGTGGTAACTAGTTACTGGTATACTGCACCATGGATGTGTGTGAAGTGTGACAGAGTGTGACTCACTCTGTCCTAGTGGTAACTAGTTACTGGTATACTGCACCATGGATGTGTGTGAAGTGTGACAGAGTGTGACACAATCTGTCCTAGTGGTAATTAGTTACTGGTATACTGCTCCATGGATGTGTGTGACGTGTGGCAGAGTGTGACACGATCTGTCCTAGTGGTAACTAGTTACTGGTATACTGATCCATGGATGTGTGTGAAGTGTGACAGAGGGTGACACAATCTGTCCTAGTGGTAACTAGTTACTTGTATACTGATCCATGGATGTGTGTGAAGTGTGACAGAGGGTGACACAATCTGTCCTAGTGGTAACTAGTTACTGGCATACTGCTCCATGGATGTGTGTGAAGTGTGACAGAGTGTAAAACACTCTGTCCTAGTGGTAACTAGTTACTGGTATACTGCACCATGGATGTGTGTGAAGTGTGACAGAGTGTGACACAATCTGTCCTAGTGGTAATTAGTTACTGGTATACTGCTCTATGGATGTGTGTGAAGTGTGACAGAGTGTGACACAATCTGTCCTAGTGGTAATTAGTTACTGGTATACTGCTCCATGGATGTGTGTGAAGGGTGACAGAGGGAGACACAATCTGTCCTAGTGGTAACTAGTTACTGGTATACTGCTCCAAAGACTTGTGTAAATGTATACAACATGAAGATTGGTGCATTAAACAAATTCACACTTTTTTTCATTTTAATGATTAGAAAATTTCTTCCTCAGTTATTTATGAATTCTATCAAACTTCACCTTTGAATTTCTGTTACAGCTGTACAAAGTAATGAGAGCAAATTGGTTTCTGAAACATCTAATTTGACTGTTTCAAGAGAAATAACTTTTGCAATATTAAATAATTCATTTCACCTGTGTAGGCCACTACTATATATTTTGTAATCATACATACATTTGTGTATGTAGTAACTTATGTATTATAAATTCATGAAATTGTTGAATAAATCTTGAACTCAGTTACTTGTTCTGTTGTTGAAATTGCTGTATGGTAAAACAAAAATGTACATGTATCATGTGTGAAATGAACAATCAACATTGATTTAAACACACCGGGAAGAGAGAAACATTTTCAGCCCAACGGGTCTCATGCAAGTTGATTTTGTGGTGTGGCTGCCACCATGATATGTTGTCCTTCAGCTTTTCATTTACATGTCTTCTTAAGAACCATCAGTTTGTAGCTCCCTGTGATGATTAAAACCTGCAATCTTTTCAAGGTAACCGGGGTCAGGTATGGGGAAAAACTTCAAGATTCTTCTTCTGAGTGAAGAACTCAAAATACTATTTGGCCAGTATTTTGCAGGCATGAAGTACAACAAGTTTAATAACAAAAATAACCTTGACCTAGAAACAAGGTCAAAAGAATCAAATTTGTTAAAATGCTTAAACAACTTCTTATGAAGAATTGAAAGACTTACAGTCATGATAGATATATGGCAAATAGCTTGCTGAGATGGAATGTTACAAATTTTGTGAAAAGAAATTACCTTAACCTATATTCAAGGTCTCGGGGTCAAATATTATAAAACATCCTAACAACGTCTTTTGAAGAAATAACAGGCCTATAGACTTGTAGTGTTAAGGCCGTAGCTTGCAGACATGGAGTACTATAAATTTCGCAAACAGGAATGAATTTGTAGTTATTCAAGGTTAATTGATTTGGGTCAGCTTAGCTTGCTGGCTTGGTTTGTTGGTTATTACACAGGACACGGTATGTTTTGGTACTTCCAAAGAGTTCTCTGCCAAAACTGTACTTAAGTACTTAAAAAAACTGTCTTTTCAGGCATCATGTGAAGCTTTGATATATCATTTCTGAAAAGAAAATCCTATCTTGCAGGACTTTTTTGAGAAATAATCATGATGAAACAAACAAAATTTACTTGTAATCAACAGGAGTGTTCTGACCGAGTACATTTAAACATTCAGGCTAAACTTGGATTTAAACCATGGACTTACATCGTATACTTTCATTCTGACCGAATGAGCTATTATACCTGGTCAGCGGAAGTGTCCTGGCAAAACAACCCAAGCCGAAATTAAGTGGAGCTAGCAAGGCAATTGTATAGTATAGGTATATATATAGGGAACAACACAGACAGCTGTGGGACAGGGGTCCAATGGTATAAAAGTACCAAATTAAAATTAACGAGGACTGAAACAAAATTCCTCAAAAACTACATGACTGATTTCAGTGATTATAACAGCTGGTCTGAAATGACTGACTTCATCTTCATCAGCTTTTCATCGATCAATACTGATGATTAAGTATAATATATATTGACTTTGAAGGGCATTGCAGCAATTGTGAGTAATTCTTTTCTGTTATGTTCGAAATTATATCAATATAATACAAAAGTCCAGATGAAAAAATACCCCATTCATCTAGACTATTATATTGATATACTGTCAAACTCCTGTGCTACCTCCGGCGAGCTACCTATTGTTGTATTCGTACCAGTACAGTCGGCACACATACGCTTCACAAATATAGAACACTGGACAGCTATCTCAGCTTGGGTACTTTTTATCTTGGAACAAAACACATGCATGAACAATTCGAGGTCACTCACATGCTTCACTCACAGTCATTCGCACGCTTACAGAACGTCAACAAACACCACATTCCTCCCTCTTTTATAGAAGTCCCTGTATACTGTGGAGTCAGTTCACACTTATACAGATTGTTCACACGTAGTACAGCAATAAAGTTCCAGCTGTTCGGCTTCCTCTACATTTAAGCCCACACAACGTCCATGGAACCACACAAAACAAAAGTCACACTGGATCATGATGGTCCCATCATCCGTTTGATGGCAGACACAGTGGGTTTCCTCTACCGGTTCCGCTCGGTGCTCCTGGAGATCGATTATCCATTGGGGTCGCTTACGGTCATTACACATTTTTAATCGATCGTGATTAATGACTTGTCGCGTCTTCCCCATCTGTACTCCATAGACGTACGGCGTGTACTTTTTGACTATGAGTCCAGGACCTTTCCAAACGGCCTTTAACTTGGGATTTTGTCCCTTAGGCGTTGCATTGTCGAAGACGTAGACCACATCCCCTTCAATGAACTCGGTAGTGTAAACGCGAACATCGTAATCACGTTTCATTCTCCTCTGCGTTGTGGCAAGGGTTTTTCTGGCGGTTTCATGGGCACGCTGAATTGCATCTACCAAATTGTCCACATAACTTTCAGAGTCGCGAGAGTCCTTCGCCTTCTTGTTCGATGGAGCGGCATACAAGAGATCTGCAGGCTGATTGGTCTCCCGGCCCAGCATTAACTTGTTGGCGGTATGTCCAGTTTGGCGGTTTACGGAACACCTTAGCGCGCCAGCTAGCTGTGGTAAATAGATGTCCCATTCACTTTGAGAGTTTATGAAGCATCGAACTGCGTTCATGATGGTGCGATTATACCTCTCCACTTGTCCATTGGCAGAAGGTCTATAAGCCGTTGTACGAGTTTTATGAATTTGCGTAACTTCACACAAAGCTTTAAACAGACGACTTTCAAAGTTTCTACCTTGGTCTGTATGAATTTGGAACGGATATCCAAATCTCGCGAAGAATTCGTTTACAGCTGCTTTTGCGGTTGTCGCGGCGGTCTGCGAAGGTAAGGGAACACATTCAACCCATTTGGTAAACTGGTCTACCATAACTAATATGTGTTCATTTCCTGTTGCTGTTATGGGTAGTGGGCCCAAGAAGTCAAGATGAACTCTTTCCATGGGTTCCCCTGATTGGAAAAGAGTCAACGGGCATCGAGCCTTTCGACTGGCTTTTTTCTTGGTGTTGCAGATGACACAGGATTTCACGAACTTTTGAACGTCGCGAGGCAAGCCATACCAATGGAACCTCTGGCGAACCATGGATTCTGTTCGGTTGATTCCCTGATGAGCGCTAGCCGGGATGTCATGGCACAAAGAAATAGCGTCTTCTCTCATACTGGGAGGTATAACCAAGGATTGAGTTTTGCTAGTGTCTTCTAGATCCTTCCTCCACAATATACCAGACTCATCCAGGAAGTATAACTCACGGTTAATCCAGTAATACTTTATGGCTCTACTGGATCCAAACAGTTCTCCTTCGTCCACCTCTTTCTTATTCTTTACCCACTCTAGCAGTATAGATAACTCTGGATCTTGCTCCTGAGCAGTCCGGATTTCCTTTGCCGAGTAACCCGAGAATTGAATATCCAAGGCGTTGACGTTCATGTCTTCAATATCACTCCTTTCAGATCTAGTGAGGATATTTATTCCAAAAGCAGACACTTCTATGGTCAAATTCTCGCTATATAGACTTCCTTCCACGGCGAAAGTATTGTCAGACTGGGTTACTTTTTGTACGCAGGGTATGTTACTTAGAGAGACCGCCTCGTCCACATCAGAGATAAACTGATGCCAATGTTCATGAGCCCGAGTACAATAGGCACATCCTCCGCATGGTAACGTGGTAGGATCTTGCCCATGTTTCAAGTTTCCGCACTGGTCTTTTGGTAGACTCCGGGAGAGACTGTCAGCATTTTGATGGTCTTTTCCTTTTCGGTGTACAATAGTTAGATCATACTGGCTTAACTCTTCAAGCCATCTCGCCAGTTGTCCTTGGGGATTTTTGAAGTTGAGCAACCAAACCAAACTGTTGTGATCAGTTCTCACCACAAACTTGCGACCAAGCAGATAATGGCGAAACTGTCTGGTAAAGCGAACTACTGCCAAAAGTTCTTTTCTTGTTGTACAATAGCGACGCTGTTCTGATGTCAGGGAATAACTAGCATAAGCTATTGTTCTTTCCTTGCCTTCTTGAATTTGGCACAACTCACCACCAATAGCAAAGTCAGATGCGTCTGTGTCGAGCACAAACATATCGCTGTTATTCGGTATTCCCAAAACAGGTGGAGAACTCAGGGAAGATTTTAAGCTGGAAAATGCTTTTTCCTGTTCCTCATCCCACCGAAAGTCATTCTTTCCTGTCAATTGGTACAGAGGAGCTGCAATTTTGGCATATTCGGGAATAAATGAGCGATGGTAGTTGGCAAACCCCAAGAATTGCTCAACATCCTTAGATGATGTTGGTGTTGGCCACTCCTTCATCTTTTCGATGTGTTTGCCACTGGTTTCAATGCCACTTTCACTAACTGTTCGCCCTAAGAAGTCAACCTTCTTTTTAAAGAATTCGCACTTAGCGGGTTTGAGTTTCAGTTGATACGCCCTGATGCGCTCAAAGACTTCTGCTAGATTTTGGAGATGCTCATCGAAGGTCTTCCCAAGAACCAACACATCGTCCAGGAAGGCAAGAACAATGTTCCATGTTAATCCACGAAGAACCAGGTTCATTACTCTGGCATAAGTTGCTGGGGCGTTACAAAGTCCGAATCCCATTTTGACAAACTGAAACAATCCGTGTTTTGTACTGAAGGCAGTCTTATGTCTGTCCGATTCATTGACAAGGACTTGCCAATAAGCCGAGTTGGCATCTAGTTTCGAAAACCACACGTTATCGGTCAATGCGTCGAGGCATTCTTCTATTAACGGTAATGGAAACACGTCTTTAGTAGTTACCGAGTTCAGTCCCCGATAATCTATGCACCAGCGCACTCCGCCGTCACGTTTACGGATCAGCACTGGTGCTGACGCCCACTCGGATGTAGAGGATTCGATAACTCCAGAATCTAGCATCTTCTTTAGATGCAAATCCTCTTCGTTGGCAAAACATGCTGGCGTTCTGCGAAAACGTTGCTTTATCGGCCGTGCCGTACCTGTATCAATATTGTGTTTGATAGCACTAAAATGTCCCAGGTCAAAGTCATTTTTCGCAAAAACATCGGAATTATCCTTAATAAGTTGAGCAAATTGACTTAACTCCTCAACCGACAACTGTTCTTTCGCGCCATCAATGAGACTCTGTACATGCGAAGGCGCAATGTCCGGTGTTTCCTCGCCACAGCGTAATGTCTCCACAAATATGGGATCCGCATGACTTTCAACATTCGCAATAATTTCTCTTGCCTCATTGACTATCGCAATTTCCGTTTTCCTTTTCAGAATTATATTTCTGTCCGTGACATTCACACAGTACAACCTGATCTGCGAGGCTGTGTCATACAATGATCTCGGAATTAGTAGTCCATTTTCTACTGTAGGCTCCACAATTAGACTAGAACTGCCTACCTTTCCGGAAATTCGACAACACACTCTTGCTACACTGTTCGGTGGTACTACAGTCCGTTTCTGTACATATACCTTGCCTTCGGAAGCAGGTAAAAATTCTTTTCCTGTGTTCACTGAAATTTTCTCTCCACCAATACCCAGGGTAAGAGTATCCCCTGAAATGTCAAGTTGAGCATTATTGGGCTTCAGAAAGTCCAGACCCAGCAAGATATCATCTTCAATTGGTCCAACATAAATGCTAACCTTGTAACTCTTAGATCCTATATCTAGTTCGATGGGTCCAACAATATAGCTCTCAATTGGTTGATCTCTGCCTGCTGCATTAAGTGTCACATGTTTCAATATCGAGGGTGGCTCAACAAGGTTTTTGTATACCTCATCCGATATGATTGATACTTCAGCACCGGTATCCACCACTGCTCTTGTATGAAAACCTCCCACGATAACAGGCACTTGAAACATGGATGTTGACCGTAATCGGGTAATATTATCAAGTTCAACACGGGTTGATTCGGTGGTGTTATCAGTCATTACCTCACTGATAAGGTCATCTGGTGTAATTGTTGACCGTGTAGGATGAAGACCATTTTTAACATCTAAGGTCGGGCTTAGGTCTAGTTGGCCGACCTGTCGGTGTTTAACGAGTCCTCAACTTCTTCAGATCCAGGGACTACTTCTTCACCTTCAGTCTTTTCAGCCGCATCCAGGAGTTTCACAGATTTATTATCTTCAGCATTAGGACAGTTCGACTTAAAATGGCCTGTCTGGCCACAACCATAACAAACCACATTCCTTTTGATCCTTTCCTCTGGGACACGAACAGCCTCCAAAATTTGTTTAAGGGATTTTTGCATGTCCGATACCTTGTCTTCTAGGGCTGACAGCCTTTGGTTTGTTGCTGAAGATGGCTGGAATGAGGACTGAGAATTTGGGACTCTACGCTGGAATGTCCTGCTGACACTAGTACCTTCTTCCTCTTGTATGATTAGTTCTTCGACAGGCGAAGGTCTAGGACGGTCGCGACCATAGATAGACTTTCTTGTATGTTGAAAAAGTCTCATCTTGTCCACCACTTCCTCAATAGATCCCAATCTTAGGTTAGAAACATATTGGCCTGCTTCTTTATCTGCTGCTCCCTGGCAAATTGTGGAGATCGCTTGTTTATACATAAACTCATCGGGCAGATCCTGATAGGCTCTGGTAGCTAAAGATAACACCCGATCAGCCCAATCTGCTAGCTTCTCGTCAGGGTACTGTCGGGCGTTACGAAGGCGTGCTTGGGTAGTCTCGGCCAGCTCCTTGAATCCAAAACGGCGTTCCATTTTTGACATGATATCGAAAAATTCCATCGTTGAATCACGATCCAAGAGCATAGTGAAAAACTCACTAGCTTTGCCCTCCAGTATCCAGCAAAGGTTATCCCGACATTCACGAGCAGTAAGATTCTCCGCCTCAGTGAATCTAGTAAACTTTGTGCAAAAAGCTTTCCAATCGGAGTTTCCATCATAGCGTAACGTCTTGGGAGCTACCACCCGTCCACGTCTTGGCGGCGGATTCCCCGGATTGTACCTTGGAGGTGGAAAGTTGAACTGTGGTTGACGGGGCTGACCGTGGTATTCCTGTTCGTATGGGTCTCGGTAATTAGTGTACTGGTACTGCTGTCGATGTTCTCTCTGGCGGCTGCCAGGATACCCATAATTGTCAAAATACGGTCCTGGATTTTGAACTTGTAGTCGTGGTGGTGAAGGATGTTGAACCTTTGGTGGTGGGTCCATTTTGTAGGTGTGATGCTCACCCGTCAAGTTCTCACCCATGTCAGTAAACCGTTCATATCGCGGTGTAAAGTCTATTTGGTTTAACATGGTCTCTGTGGGCCTCAGGTATGGAATGGCCAACAGAACCTCTTTAGTAATGTCCCCCATTACTTCACGGACTTGTAGAATTTTGTCCGCCAGACGCTCTCCAATACCCGGCAATAGTAGTAGGTCTTGTCTCTCACAGTAATTTATACGAGTCATTGTGGCAGGGGATAAGGCGACAACAGATCACCAACCCACAACCTCAACTTATCGTTTAAGAGTTCTACGGTGCAGGGGATAAGGCGACAACAGATCACCAACCCGCTGCCGTATTACAATTACCGTTTAAGTCTCTTCCAACTTTTATCGTCAGTGTCTACCGGAGTGTCCTCTTCTGAAGATTCTGTGGTGACAATTCGAATCTCACTTCCTGGTTTTTCCAATTTGGTAATATCCCCTCGAATTCCAGAAACCACCTGTTTGTACCACTCTTTCTTTACATCAGATTTGGCATGTAAGCCATCGTAATACTGTTCAAAGGAATACCGGTAAGCGGTAATCACTTTCCGTGCACGGCCTCTCCTTTTCTTGTGTTTGTGAACAATGGTATCTGCCCACTTAACTGTCCAACCCGTTGGCACTGTCTGGTTATTTAAATGGTGAATTCTAGAATTTACCTCCAACACAGTTTTATTGTGTTGTTCTTGTAATTTTGTTACCAGATTTTGGTTAATTGGTTTGGAGGATTTATTAAGTTGAAAGTCTTTTAACGAAGCAGGAGGGATGGTGATGAAACTAACTCGGCTTGATGGTCTAACTACCTGTACACGTGTTCTAAATTCTGAAAGTTCTTCAATAATATTGTCCGGTGACCTGTCTGACGGTACTAGAATTTTCCCATCTGGCTCCCGTTCCAATTTTAACAAATCATTAATGCCAGCAGCAACTTTTATTATTAAAGTTTTTGATGGTTCAAATGTCCGAACGATTGGAATTGATAATGCCACCAGGTCCTGAATTTGTGCGCCTCTCTGAATTATAAATTTGATGTTGAAATCCTCTGGATGACCAAATCTTTGAAAATTATTTGCTCTTGAATCTGCGATCAGTACCCCTGCATACCGCTTGTTCATCTAGATCTGTTAACACAGAAACAACAAGAGAAAAAAAAAAAAAAAATATACCCAAATCCTTTTACAAAATTTATTTCTATTAAACAGGGGTAGCGGTAATTACCACCCACCACACTGCATATTAGAACAGTAAGAGAAAAACAACCGACACCCTAGCTGTGGTTTTAATATAAATAATACTCGAGGGTTAGCGTCAAACAGAACACCTACCACAGCGAGCAAAAAAAAATTAATAAATATATATATAGATATTCAGAGCAGCCTGGCGTCAACAGAACACCTACCTCACTGAATACACTTGAAACTAAATTAATCAAACATCAGTTACCATTGGTACAGCGCCACCAGAGCACCTAACCAACGTGACCACGAATAAAATGTTGTCTAAATATTTTATTTTTTTATTGTCCTAAGATAACCGTTCCGTTTCCGTTTGTTTCGTTTTTGGTTTTTGTTTTATTATTTAAAAACACGCAAGGGTATCAGACAGTAGTTGGCCTTCTACACGGGTCAACTATCGAATGAATTTGTGAATAAATTGCTCCCTCTACCCAGGATACAACTCTAAACACAAAACATAAACATTGGGACAACGTGAAACACAAAACACGTGTATCACACAAAAGACAATCAAAGATGGCGCGCACCCTCTACCCGGGATTCTACGTCTCTTGTATTAATCCCACTAGAAATTCTCCTCGGATTCTAGCGTATCCATGACCTCCGCGAACAGACTCGGGAATGCTCGTGACGCCATTGTTGTATTCGTACCAGTACAGTCGGCACACATACGCTTCACAAATATAGAACACTGGACAGCTATCTCAGCTTGGGTACTTTTTATCTTGGAACAAAACACATGCATGAACAATTCGAGGTCACTCACATGCTTCACTCACAGTCATTCGCACGCTTACAGAACGTCAACAAACACCACACTATTATCGACTACAACATTTAAACGCGTACACATATTGAGTCATGTGCTCCTGGTTTCAAATATGTGTTCTCATACACGTACGTAGCATGTGTCATAGCTTATTTTGTGTCACAGGGTTCTGAAAAATAAATATCTCAAGATAACGGTGCGAAGCCTAACTTCAATATTGATTCTTATTCTTATTCCTGATATCCGGAATATATATATATACAACAATAATGAATTTGTATACATGTACTTTAAGAAATTACTCACTATTTGTACGATTTTTCATATATTTTAATACTGATCCGCTGCTTTAATAAGCGGTAATTGTCACTAGCCCCTGTACATGGGGGAATCACCGTGTCATTTCTAAAAATAGAATAAGGAAGAAGTATGACGCATGCGCATTGTCAATGTTTTGGGGCGGCTGACAAGTGTGACTAAAAAATGTTACAGGTATGGCTTTGGCTTTAATATGTTATTTGCACATTGACAACACCATTTACGTTAACATTGTGCAGGACTATCCATGCATGGACACAAATCAAATTTATGATCACGACTGATCATGTCTGATGCTTAGATTTCCTCTCGCACTTTGTGGCAGAGACGAGTCCAAGACCAATCCAAGTTTTCTTGGGTAACTCTCACCACAGTGCACTCGACGTTGGTACCAGAGTATAACAATGAAACTAAAATTGCAGTTCGCGCTTAAGAAGCTTGATTTTTAACGATGGTTCTTAAATTGTACCATAGCAACAATAGAAATGTATAAGGAACATACAGTGAAACAATGTCAAAGTGGTGCTCTTCCTGGTACCACAGGAGTCTGACGTTTAATTAATATATATATAATAGTCTATATTTAAAAAAAAAATACCACGTATACTATAAAAAAAATAGTATACGGGGTATTTTTTTATATATAGACTATTATACATATATTAATTAAACGTCAGACTCCTGTGGTTAAACCACATCACTGGAGAAGCTAGCTTAATTACCAGGAAGGCAGTATTTCCCCCACATATTCTTTGGCTATTGCACTATTCCCCTCGGAGTATTATCATCCGGAGACTTGACCTGGGGAATCCTGTAGGTTATGTATTCCATGTGTACCAATGCTGTTCCCTAACCATGCACTGAGAGTTGGCCAGAGTTACTATAAAATTACATGATATGTACCACAAGGTAACTACACTGCTACCAGATGTGAATGGCGGACAGGACAGAGTTATATATATACTGTGTAGCTGGAAAAGTTAGCTTGCCTGCATGAGTGAGGCAGTTTTTCGCCCTTATATTGTAAAGTATGGGGTCACCTGCCCAACTACATGGATTTTCTCCAGGTACTCTGGTTTCCTCCCACATTAAGACTCCGCGCACACTAACATTCAGGCCAACAAGAGTGAGTAATCATCATAAAAGTGGAAATAACATGTTTCATAATTGTTGTAAAGTAAGTACATGTACAGGTATCTTGAGGGTCCTCCCAGCATGTGTACCAATTAATGCACCTTCCCTGAGCCGCCTAGAACTGGCCTTACAGGATACGGCAAGGGTCACAGCATTGCCACCTATAACATCTACAATATATAGGCACTGCATAGCCATGCTTGTTGTTGCATGCTTAACTAAAGCTATAGCAGTAAGGCAGTATTTCCCCACACTGTTCTTTTGCTGATACACATGTAACTTTGAATCACTTGTGTTTTTAAGCTTTGAATTTTAGTTATACATGTACAATGCATTTGTTTTAGGCCAACGTTATAGTGCTTTCTATCAATTTCACACTCTAAAAGTTCAGAATGCTGAATTTGTAATCAATAAAGGTATTGTTATTTTTCAGATTCATCATTTTTTCAATAAACAGATGAATTGCTGAGCTTCATTTAAGATTAAAAACCTTTGACTATTATTAGTTGGTGTGTGCAACTTCAAACTAAAGAGTCCTAAATACTGACAGCAGGCTACATAGGGATCAACAGTTGTAGACATCACCATGGCAACAATATTCGGTGGTTGCCATGTTGTCCTTGACCTAACAACAAGTGTCAGCTTCAAAAAGAAACAAGAAATCCGTAAGAAAATCACAGATAATGACGGGATTGTCTCCTACATTGTTACAAAGAAGGTAAGAAGCTTTTAAGCAGGTAACAAGTTTGCACCCAGAAGTCAAAGTACTACAAATAAGGTCAACTCTAGAAAGTGCTGATTTACTAAATTAAATCCTTATACTAAAACAGATTGCATGTGCCAATATTCTTTAGTCATGGTTGGTCTTCAAAAATAAGAATGTTTAATAAAATCTTCTTTAAACCTTTGCCAAATTTCATTCATAACTAGGCATACACTTTTAGATAAGTAGTTTGAAATGTACATGTACAAATGTATATTGTACTTTTATGAGAAAATTCATGTTCACACTTAAATCGATCATATAACTTCATTCAAATAGAAATATACATCATTTGTAAAATACAAAATCTGCTTATTTTTCCTAGAGTACTCATGTGGTATGTAACGACCCTGCCAAAGCGGACACCAGCTACAAGCGTAAGATGGCCCAGAAGTATGGCATCCCCGTTGTGTCCGTTGCCTTCCTGTATGACTGTGTGGAGGAAGGGAGACTACTTTGTTCAGATGATTACCTGGTTATTGGCAAAACAAGGTCTCAGAAACTTGGCTCTGGTAAAATTGCAGGTAAAGATTTATATAAAATGTTTCATAATGTACCTCAAATAAGCGAAACAAACTTACATATTTCCAGCTGATTCAGCTTTTGTGTTTAGATCAGTTATGGACTACAAGCACTGCAACTCAGCTATGTAACTTTACATGACTATGTGTCTATGTGAGTACAGCACATTTTACAGCAATTTTGTGACCTTCCAACTTTGAGCTTCACCTCTTTGGCCTTAGTGGTAACTACTGCAGCTAGGGTCATGCCACTTCACATGCTAATGCTCCTCTGTGAGTACAGGATACTGTATTACTTTTTGTAGCTTTGACCTTTGACCTTGACTTTTATGACCTTGCTTTACTTCTTAAGTGTAGGAGCAGGGCATCCTTACAGACAAATTTTAAGTAGTAGTATTTAGTTTACTTTCATAACTAATGTTTTATTCGTACATATGATGGTTAAATGTTTAAAACAAGGGCACACCATTTAGATGGTTGTGAGTTTTGGATTTGAACTCATAGAAAATAGTACTCATTGTCTATGCAAAGATATGTTGCTATATCTTACCTTTATGTTACTGCATTTGGCTTCTTGAAACAAATTTTCAATCATTTTGATTTCTCCAAAGGAAAAGTATTGCTTCATTTAAAAGCAAATATCTGATTTTTATTCTGCCTGAAGAAACAAACAAGCAGACATATTTTTTTATCAACATTATGGAACAGTTTATGAATAGTTCTTGAAGTTGAAATGTGCTGATGAAGGATATAAGGGTTTTTGTGTTTACTTTTGTGATAGCTACAAAGTACCAGATTCTTGGTAAGAGGAAGAAGTCGTCCTTCTATCCAGCGGGAGTGAAGGCATGGCCACTACAGGAAAAACACACTCCCATTTTCAACAGCGCCAAATACCAGGTGGCAAAATATGCTGTGTTACAGGTGAGAACGCTAGAAAGATCACTTGTTTACATCCAGCATTGCAGAATCTGCTTTGAAACAGGGTAACATGTAATTTATTATATCTGGGCAGGGTTACATGTACTTTATTATATCTGGGCAGGGTTACACACAATTTATTATATCTGGGCAGGGTTACACATAATTTATTATATCTTGGCAGGGGTACATGTAATTTATTATATCTGGGCAGGGTTACAGGTAATTTATTGTATCCGGGCAGGGTTACAGGTAATTTATTGTATCCGGGCAGAGTTACATGTAATTTATTATATCTGGGCAGGGTTACAGGTAATTTATTGTATCCGTGCAGAGTTACATGTAATTTATTATATCTGGGCAGGGGTACAGGTAATTTATTGTATCCGGGCAGAGTTACACGTAATTTATTATATCTGGGCAGGGTTACAGGTAATTTATTATATCTGGGCAGGGTTACACGTAATTTATTAGATCTTGGCAGGGTTACACGTAATTTATTATATCTTGGCAGGGTTACAGGTAATTTATTGTATCCGGGCAGGGTTACAGGTAATTTATTGTATCCGTGCAGAGTTACATGTAATTTATTATATCTGGGCAGGGTTACAGGTAATTTATTATATCTGGGCAGGGTTACACGTAATTTATTATATCTGGGCCGGGTTACACGTAATTTATTATATCTGGGCAGGGGTACACGTAATTTATTATATCTGGGCAGGGTTACATGTAATTTATAATATCTGGGCAGGGTTACACGTAATTTATTATATCTGGGCAGAGTTACACGTAATTTATTATATCTGGGCAGGGATACACGTAATTTATTATATCTGGGCAGGGTTACACGTAATTTATTATATGTGGGCAGAGTTACACGTAATTTATTATATCGGGGCAGGGTTACATGTAATTTATTATATCTTGGGTATTCACTGTTGCTTCTTCAGTCCTAACGTAACTTATGATTTATTTGATTACAAGTCTTTAAGGAACAATTTTGCATTATCACCCATGTAAATAGTTTTTTAATCCACACCTTATCAACATATAAAATGGGTATACAGAGGTACTCAAATGTAACACACATGAATTAGATCAGAACTCAAGTTCCTCATGAAAAGACAGTCAACATAAATATACACTTACTGAAGTAAATACCGTACTTGTTATTTTGCATGTCCTGGCTTGGTTACTGTTTCAGAAATATGTAAAGAGTGCAGGGAGGATTTTTTTCTGTGTGCTGGAGGTTCACGTTACTGAAGAACGGGACTTTCTGCCTGGACAAATCCACAGATTCAGGGTATCCAAACACCATGGCAACCTCAAACACATCCAGGTACAATATCAAATTACCAATACTTCATTGTGTTTTTTTGTAAATTTAGTATATATATCAATGATGAACATCTGTTCAAAATACAAATAGCTCATTCTCAATGAGACAGATGAGTAAATAAATACAAATAGCTCATTCTCAATGAGACATGAGTAAATAAATACAAATAGCTCATTTTCAATGAGACAGATGAGTAAATAAATACAAATAGCTCATTCTCAATGAGACAGGCGGGGAAAAAAAAACAAAAAGCTCATTCTCAATGAGACAGGCGGGGAAAAAAAAACAAAAAGCTCATTCTCAATGAGACAGGCGGGGAAAAAAAAACAAATAGCTCATTCTCAATGAGACAGGCGGGGAAAAAAAAACAAAAAGCTCATTCTCAATGAGACAGGCGGGGAAAAAAAAACAAAAAGCTCATTCTCAATGAGACAGGCGGGGAAAAAAAAACAAAAAGCTCATTCTCAATGAGACAGGCGGGGAAAAAAAAACAAAAAGCTCATTCTCAATGAGACAGGCGGGGAAAAAAAAACAAATAGCTCATTCTCAATGCGACAGATGAGTAAATAAATACAAATAGATCATTTTCAATGAGACAGATGTGTAAATAAATACAAATAGCTCATGCTCAATGAGACGGATGGTTAAATTAATACAAATAGCTCATTTTCAATGAGACAGATTAGTAAATAAATACAAATAGCTGATTTTCAATGAGACAGATGAGTAAATAAATGCAAATAGCTCATTCTCAATGATACAGATGAGTAAATAAATACAAATAGCTCATCTCAATGAGACAGATGGGTAAATAAATACAAATAGCACATTCTCAATGAGACAGATGAGTAAATAAATACAAATAGCTCATTTTCAATGAGACAGATGAGTAAATAATTAGTGGTGTAAAGTTATTCTGATACAGAAACCCTGCTTGTATCAGTGTATAACACTAACTGCGTTATTGTGTTACGAATACACATTAAATTTCACCTTTAGGTGCATGAGCTGTGATTGGCTATATATTCCTATTGTTTCCATAGTGATGTCATAACTTCCTGATGTCACAGACTTCCATTTCCATTGTGATGTTACAGTTAAAAGAAAACAAGTTGGATAGAGAATGTTGATATTTTAAATTCAAGTCAACCTAAGATAGTGTTGTTTTCAAGAATGTTGGGTAAACAGAATCTTACGTGCCTTTCCATTTCATATGAGGTTTATATTATGAAGGTCATCACAAATGTGTCATTTCAACTCACTAGAGTCTCAATAAAATAAAGAATTCTTACACTCATTTCACAAATTCAAATTCTGTATGATATGAAAATTCACTTAAGATCCTCTAAGTATGATACATGTAAAAAAATGTTTATAACATTTCTTAACTTACTTGATAGGAAGGAAAACCTGAGAAAATGGAATGTTATTATGTTGAGACATCAGACGAAGCTACCAAGATGTACAGTTTCTTGTACAAACAGCAGACGGAACACCCAAATCTAATGGAGGTATCCCATGATGCACCTCCCAGGGGCATAGGCACATTGAACTTTCAAAAGGTTAGCAAATCTCTGAAAATCAACAAGTTTGAACCAAGCAGTCTTTAGTTTTCTGTCATTCTTATGTTTGAAACGGAAATTTAAAATATGTTAGATTTAAAAAAAAAAATTAGTATGAGGCCTGAAGGTCTCAAAGTGCAGTCTGTGACAAGAAGAGATTTCGGTTAAGCTTTTTTTATTGATTTTCAGTTTTCATAATTATGCATAATAATTTAAAAGAATTACTTTAATGAACAATGATAAATTGAATTATTCTGTTTGTCAGATGATGATGGCATTTGGATTAGAGAAAGCAGAGTTATCTGATCCTGTCTGTGAACTAGTGGAGGGAATATGGAGGGAGGCCTACTCAGACCTATCAGAGATCCTGACCTCACCAAGCTCAGTCAAACTAGAACAGGTCAGAAGACTGGAGTACCAGCATCACTGATATGTGAAATAATGTGTTTATCCCCATGCTTATACTCCTGCTTTGACAAAAGTAAGGGGCATATAGTATTTGATTTGTCCAGGTATCATAAGTGCATCATGGGGAAGTGGTGTGTCACATCCTAACATGAGGTCAATGTGACCTCAATTTGACCTTTGACTTTGACCTCAAGTACTATAATGATGGTTTTCAGAGCATATCTTTGATGTTGTTTCATGAATAGGCATCAAACTTTGTACATATGAACATCATGGGACCTTGACTGACCTTGACCTCAAATACTGAAATATTGGTGGTAAGAGCATTATTCAGCCACTGTTTCATGAATTGGGATCAAATGTTGTATATAAGTACATCATGGAAAAGCCTTATTTAAAATAAAAAATATCCTAATATGAGGTCATTGTTACCTCAATTTGACCTTTTGACCTTGACCTCCAGTACTATGCTGTTTCATGAATGTGCTCCAATGAAATGATGAATTAAATGGATTAGTAACAAATTAATGTAATAAGCCAGAACACTATGAATTGAGACTGATCCAGAATGTGATTTGACCTTATCCACTGGAAAATTAGGTTTTTATGGGATGTTTTAGATTGAGAAGGCTGAAGCTTTGTTAATGAAGCTAAGAGGTGAACCAGAAGACAAGCAGTCTGTCCTCAATGAGTTCTACTCCACTCTTCCACACAACAACAAGGTGGCCATCAGCAGTGTCAACAATGCCTGGTTGTCTACAGAACAGGATCTTTGTCAGGTAGGTTCTACTAGTACACATTACAGACACAACAGCCAACTGTATCAACAACGCCTGGTTGTCTACGGAACAGGATCTTTGTCAGATAGGTTCTACTAGTACACATTACAGACACAACAGCCAACTGTATCAACAACGCCTGGTTGTCTACGGAACAGGATCTTTGTCAGATAGGTTCTACTAGTACACATTACAGACACAACAGCCAACTGTATCAACAACGCCTGGTTGTCTACGGAACAGGATCTTTGTCAGATAGGTTCTACTAGTACACATTACAGACACAACAGCCAACTGTATCAACAACGCCTGGTTGTCTACGGAACAGGATCTTTGTCAGATAGGTTCTACTAGTACACATTACAGACACAACAGCCAATTGTATCAAAAACGCCTGGTTGTCTACGGAACAGGATCTTTGTCAGGTAGGTTCTACTAGTTCATAGTACTCATACAACAGAGATCTGTGTCACTTATTGCTGGCTGTCAATCAAACAATAGATACATGTATTAGGTACTCCTGGTCCATAGTACCATGTCAGTTTTATTATTGTTTTTTCAAGGAAAAGGTTAAAAATGAAATATGCTACCCTGAATCCTGCTCAACTTTATTTGTAAACTATCATGATTAAGAAAAATATTTCATGCTTGGTCCAAGCAAAATATTTCAACTATCTGGATATTTGGGTTCAGTTTGGGAAAACATAAAATCCTTTGAGGTCAAGTTTAACAGGTTCTACTTCAATGGTTGGTAGGTGATGAAAGACATGCTGACGGTCAGTGAGTCCACTGGCTGGTCACTCCGAGGGTCGACAGAGTCCAAATACCGTGCCCTTAGGTGTCAGATAGAACACAGGGCCCCTGATCACCATGTGTACAAGACAGTCAAGGCACTGGTCAACAAGTCTCTGGATGGGTATGTACCGTGTTCTGTTCTAATGTACTTGATGTGGAAACAGACAGGCTTCAGTGTTTTTAGCTTATAGCAGTTCCTTGTTTTAGCTTATAGCAGTTCTTTGTTTAAGCTAATTATAGCAGTTCTTTGTTTTAGCTAATTATAGCAGTTCTTTGTTTTAGCTTATAGCAGTTCTTTATTTTAGCTTATAGCAGTTCTTTGTTTTAGCTAATTTAGCAGTTCTTTGTTTTAGCTAATTATAGCAGTTATTTGTTTTAGCTTATAGCAGTTCTTTGTTTTAGCTTAAAGTAGTTCTCTGTTTTAGCTTCTAGCAGTTCTTTGTTTTAGCTTCTAGCAGTTCTTTGTTTTAGCTTAAAGCAGTTCTCTGTTTTAGCTTATATAACAGTTCTTTGTTTTAGCTTATAGCAGTTCCTTGTTTTAGCTTATAGCAGGTCTTTGTTTTAGCTTAAAGTAGTTCTCTGTTTTAGCTTATAGCAGTTCTCTGTTTTAGCTTATAGTAGTTCTTTGTTTTAGCTAATAGCAGTTCCTTGTTTTAGCTTATAGCAGTTCTTTGTTTTAGCTTATAGCAGTTCTTTGTTTTAGCTTATAGCAGTTCTTTGTTCTAGCTTATAGCAGTTCTTTGTTTTAGCTAATTATAGCAGTTCTTTGTTTTAGCTTATAGCTTTAAATAACAAAATGGGGCTTCAACATAGTGAATGGTTCTCCTTGCGAAAAAAAAAGAGATATTATAATAAATCTTTGCAAAAATTAAATTAAAAAATAAAATGGAAAAGAATCGTGTTTCTATGAGTTCTGGTTCTAAACATGCTTTGAAATGTATATTCATGTTCTAGGAGTACTTGTTCTAAACATGCTTTGAAGTGTAAATTCATGTTCTAGGAGTATTTGTTCTAAAGAAACTTTTATGGTTGCGAGACCAGTTTTGAACAAGCTTAATAGTTCTGTGGTTGTAAGCACGGGTAATAAAAGTTTTACCAGATAATGTAACACTTCTGAAGTTGTAAGCACAGGTTATAAAAGTTTTACCGGATAATGTAACACTTCTGAGGTTGTAAGCACGGGATATAAAAGTTTTACCGGGTAATGTAACACTTCTGAGGTTGTAAGCACGGCTTATAAAAGTTTTACCGGATAATGTAACACTTCTGAAGTTGTAAGCACGGGTTATAAAAGTTTTACCAGATAATGTAACACTTCTGAAGTTGTAAGCACGGGTTATATAAGTTTTACCCGGTAATGTAACACTTCTGAAGTTGTAAGCACGGGTTATATAAGTTTTACCCGGTAATGTAACACTTCTGAGGTTGTAAGCACGGGATATAAAAGTTTTACCGGGTAATGTAACACTTCTGAGGCTGTAAGCACGGGTTATAAAAGTTTTACCGGATAATGTAACACTTCTGAAGTTGTAAGCACGGGTTATACAAGTTTTACCCGGTAATGTAACACTTCTGAGGTTGTAAGCACGGGTTATAAAAGTTTTACCGGACAATGTAACACTTCTGAGGGTGTAAGCGCGGGTTATAAAAGTTTTTCCGGGTAATGCAACACTTCTGAGGTTGTACGCACGGGTTATAAAAGTTTTTCCGGGTAATGCAACACTTCTGAGGTTGTACGCACGGGTTATAAAAGTTTTACCGGATGATGTAACACTTCTGAGGGTGTAAGCGCGGGTTATAAAAGTTTTTCCGGGTAATGCAACACTTCTGAGGTTGTAAGCACGGGTAATAAAAGTTTTACCGGACAATGTAACACTTCTGAGGTTGTAAGCAGGGGTTATAAAAGTTTTACCGGGTAATGTAACACTTCTGAGGTTGTGACAACTTTAATGTTTCCATGGTTGTAATTTAATCTTTGATTCTAAATAGAATGAAAGGGATGATAATTTAAATATGGGTTATACACAAGTTCTTGCAACATTTAGTTGTAAATAAAGAAAAGATAATATTGTGTCTTTTTTGTACCCCAGGAATACCAGGCTGAACATAACGAACGTATTTGAGGTACAGAGACAGATGGAAGAGGATCATTTTACCAAGGACATATTCAACCAGACCCTTTTGTTTCATGCATCCAAACCAAACAACTTTGTTGGGATTTTGTCCAGGTAAACACAATTATGGTACCATAAACATAATCTGATGTAATTTTATTCTGTGGAGCGTAAGACTAGTACACCAGAGGCCCCACCTTGGGCACCTACAGTATGTAACAGAGGCCCCGGGCACCTTGGGCACCTACAGTATGTAACAGAGGCCCGGGCACCTTGGGCACCTACAGTATGTAACAGAGGCCCCGGGGCACCTTTGGCACCTACAGTATGTAACAGAGGCCCTGGGGCACCTTGGGCACCTACAGTATGTAACAGAGGCCCCACCTTGGGCACTTACAGTATGTAACAGAGGCCCGGGGCACCTTTGGCACCTACAGTATGTAACAGAGGCCCCACCTTGGACACCTACAGTATGTAACAGAGGCCCTGGGGCACCTTGGGCACCTACAATATGTAACAGAGGCCCCACCTTGGACACCTACAGTATGTAACAGAGACCCCACCTTGGACACCTACAGTATGTAACAGAGGCCCCACCTTGGACACTTACAGTATGTAACAGAGGCCCCGGGGCACCTTGGACACCTACAGTATGTAACAGAGGCCCCACCTTGGACACCTACAGTATGTAACAGAGGCCCCACCTTGGACACCTACAGTATGTAACAGAGGCCCCACCTTGGGCACCTATGTAACAGAGATCATTACTTTTTTCGATGCCTCCACTAGGAGTCAAACCTGAGACCATTGGTGTATCAGTCTTATGCTCTACTGAATGAGCTATAGAGAAATGTTACCTAGCAGAAAGGGATTAGTATTTTACCAGGGTGAAATATATATATAGGGAAGTTCTCTTCACTATTATGGTATTTTACCGGGGTGAACTATATATATAGGGAAGTTCTCCTGACAACATTTACTCTCACATTTCTATGAATGTCTAATTGTCAGTCTTTGGATCTGAGTTGCGTTAGATGACGCATACCAGTATGTCATTATTATATAGATGGGCTGTTGATGTCTATACTATCACTATATTGATATGTCAGAACTTTGATTTGTATGATACTTGGAACAATTCTAAGTACTCCAGGTGTTCCTTTAGGAAACATCTTATAAATGTAGCTCCTATTTGACTTGTTGGTGTTTGAGGCAACTGGTGACAATCTGTTTTGTTTGAACTAAAAATGGGAAAACTAAAAACGTGGTAAGTGGTAAGACTGTAGTTCCTCTTTGTAATGTAACTCACATATGTACAGCCTATGTACAGCCTATGCTTACATTGTGTTCTCCAGAGGCTTACTGATGCCAAAGATGGTTGTGGATGAGTATGGAGGCAAGAGAACAGATGCTGGCATGTTGGGAGCAGGCATCTATTTTGCAAGTGCTGCCAGGTAAATGTATAATATATCTAGGGTACTCTTACTAGAAACATTGTTCAAGGATTGCAGATTTGTTAGAATTTACATTAAAAGTACCTGTACTGCTTTTAGACTTTTGGAAAAAATGTATCTATGATATTTTTAAATGAAAAAAATCTTAAGTTTAGCAGGTTTTTGTGCTACTTAATTTAAAAGTAGCGTTCTCGGTTTCGTTGAATTTGTGAAGTTACTTAGCCATAAAAACCTGAAGTGCAGAATTTAACCCATATACATTCAGAAATTAAGTAATTAATGTATTTAATTTGTCAAATTGAGAATTGAAGATGGTATACTTGGCATCAGTTGAATATAAGCTTACATGGGTATGTATATACATTTCACCCACCTCATCAGCAGTCAGTAATTGGATACAATTGTGTCTGTCCAGTACTAGTGTAAAGTACTCACAGGTCAGTAAGAGCCGGGGCACGAGAATGATGCTGGTCAATAAAGTGGCTCTGGGTAGGTGTATGGACCTGTACAAGCATGACCAGACACTTGACCGTGCCCCAAATGGTTACTCCAGTGTCCATGGTGTGGCCAACACATCCAACAAACGCTCAGACTTCACGGTAAGTCATTTGTTCAGAGGTTGTTTTTTTACTTTATTTATTTTACAATAATTATGTCTCTCCTTCGGAATGAAGGGAGACATATTGTATTAGTACTGGTTCTTCTGGTTCTTCTTCTTTTTCTAAACGCAACTTGTCCGGGCCATGAATTCTAAACCATTAAAGATATCCATAGAAGGTGTGCAGTGCACTAGAATTAGGTCACTGTGACCTTCACCTCAAGGTCAAAGGTCAAATAAGTGCAACATTTTCAGTAAACTTTTGTCACACCCAGATAATTTAACTTGAAGTATACCTGCATCACCCACAGAAGGTGTGCAGTGCACTGGAATTAGGTCTTGTGCCCCACTATATACAGAGTTATGGCTCTTTGTTTATTTTTAATACCGAAGTTTGTCCTGAGAATAGGTTCCATGTTATTTCACCTACGTTGACCAAACTTAGCATATTTATATATCTTGAGAAGGCGGAATCTCTCGCACTGAAATCGGGTCTTTTGACCCACTATATACTGAGTTATAGCACTTTGTTTATTTTTATTACCAAAGTTTGTCCACAGCATAACTTCCATGGTATTTCACCTACGTTGACCAAACTTGCTATATTTTAGTATCTTGGAATGGCGGAGAGTTGCGTACTGCAATCGGGTCTCTTGCCTCACTATATAAAAAGATATGGCCCTATGTTAGTTTTTTATACTGAAGTTTGTCTGCAGCATAAGTTCCATGAGCCAATAGAGGAACCAGATTGTAATCAGATGTGTGATAATTCCTATTTTTATGTAAATGTGTCTATAGTACCATAGCTGCCGAAACTTAACCAAATTGTTAAGACAATTTAACATCAACCAGAACAATTTAAAAGTTTAATGGTTTAGAGTTTATACACCTTAATCTTGATGTGACCTTTCTATTCTTCCAAATATGCACATTGGCTTATAAGGTGAGACATATTCTAGTTATTATAAATTTCTAGTTATGAAACAGTTTTTATGAACTTATATTAATCACTCTTGCTGACCTTGATGGGACACCTACAGGGGTCTTGATTTTGGAGCAAACTGGTGACAAATTTGGTGAGAGTTGAGTTTGCTTCCACGGTGCTAACCAACCTCACAGAAATTTGTTTAGTGTTGCACTTCTTTTTTTATATGTAAATGAAATACACTAATTAATCATTAAAAAATCTCTATAACCTCGTTTTAAACTTCTTGCATCATATTTTTAAAATGAGAAGGGCATCTATATACATGTATGTGTTTGTCACTGTTAATCATTTTTTTTCATGTGTTGAACAGGATTTCAACAGATGTGATTTTTTTAATGCTATATTAATTTTGATCCTCTCTCAAAAAAGGTTGGCGACTATACAAATAGCTTTAACTCTTCAATCCCAGCCATTGCTACAGGACATACTATAAAACCCATTTAGTATTTGTGTTCATTGTTACAGGACATACTATAAAACCTGTTTAGTATTTGTGTTCATTGTGTAGGAGGATGAGTATGTAGTATACTCACCGGATCAACAGAAGATGTGTTACCTTGTGGAGTTCACTGTGGGCAGTGAGAAACCCATACCCATGGAAATTGTACCTGTACACGACAGCATAGACACAAATACTGACCCAACAGCAACCGACAAAATCAGTAAGTTGTATCTTTACACGACAGCATAGACACAAATACTGACCCAACAGCAAGCGACAAAATCAGTAAGTTGTATCTTTACACGACAGCATAGACACAAATACTCACCCAACAGCAAACGACAAAATCAGTAAGTTGTATCTTTACAAGACAGCATAGACACAAATACTCACCCAACAGCAACCGACAAAATCAGTAAGTTGTATCTTTACAAGACAGCATAGACACAAATACTCACCCAACAGCAACCGACAAAATCAGTAAGTTGTATCTTTACACGACAGCATAGACACAAATACTCACCCAACAGCAACCGACAAAATCAGTAAGTTGTATCTAAAACACAAACCGACAAAATCAGTAAGTTGTATCTTAAACACATTTTATAGATATGAAAATATTGATTTTATAGCCTATTTTCTCAAAAGTATTTTCATGTAATTCTTTTTTTTACTTTAAAAATCAGGAAAAATGTTGAATGCAGAAAAGTTGTATTGTTTTTAGATATATCATATAATGATTTCCATTCTTTGAAATGTCATTGTAATTTCCTGATTGGACTATGCTATCCGTCTTATAGAGTGCATTGATCGTCGACAGTTGGTTACTTTTTATTTCTAAGAACCACCAAAATGATTGACTCCAAATTTAAAACAAATGATCTTTTTCTTGTCCCAAGTGTTGTATTATGTTTTGATCTGAAAAAAACCTGGTTGCCTCAGCCTCTGATTATCTGAGACATTTTTATGTCTACTGTAGATCAGTGGCTCTACAGATGGACATCAAACTTGGTACAAATGTTGCTTATGAAGTCCTGACCAAGTGTTGTTACATTTCTTGTCAATCTGTAATCCAAGAAAGCTTACCTGACATATGGTCAGCAGAAACATTTTGACCTAGCTTACCTGACATGGTCACCAGAAACATTTTGACTTAGTGTACCTGACATATGGTCAGCAAAAACATTTTGACTTAGCTTACCTGACATGGTCACCAGAAACATTTTGACTTAGCGTTTCTGACATATGTTCAGCAGAAACATTTTGACTTCGCGTACCTGACATATGGTCAGCAAAAACATTTTGACTTAGCTTACCTGACATGGTCACCAGAAACATTTTGACTTAGCGTTTCTGACATATGGTCAGCAGAAATATTTTGACCTAGCTTACCTGACATATGGTCAGCAAAAACATTTTGACTTAGCTTACCTGACATGGTCACCAGAAACATTTTGACCTAGCTTACCTGACATGGTCACCAGAAACATTTTGACTTAGCGTTTCTGACATATGGTCAGAAGAAACATTTTGACTTAGCGTTTCTGACATATGGTCAGAAGAAACATTTTGACTTAGCGTTTCTGACATATGGTCAGAAGAAACATTTTGACTTAGCTTACCTGACATGGTCACCAGAAACATTTTGACCTAGCTTCCCTGACATCTGGTCAGCAGAAACATTTTAACTTAGCGTACCTGACATAAGGTCAGCAAAAACATTTTGACTTAGCTTACCTGACCTATGGTCAGCAGAAACATTTCGACTTAGCGTACCTGACATGGTCGGCAGAAACATTTTGACTTAGCGTTTCTGACATATGTTCAGCAGAAACATTTTGACTTCGCGTACCTGACATATGGTCAGCAGAAATATTTTGACCTAGCTTACCTGACATGGTCACCAGAAACATTTTGACTTAGCGTTTCTTACATATGGTCAGCAGAAACATTTTAACTTAGCGTACCTGACATAAGGTCAGCAAAAACATTTTGACTTAGCTTACCTGACATGGTCACCAGAAACATTTTGACTTAGCGTTTCTGACATATGGTCAGCAGAAATATTTTGACCTAGCTTACCTGACATATGGTCAGCAAAAACATTTTGACTTAGCTTACCTGACATGGTCACCAGAAACATTTTGACTTAGCGTTTCTCACATATGGTCAGCAGAAACGTTTTGACTTAGCGTACCTGACATAAGGTCAGCAAAAACATTTTGACTTAGCTTACCTGACATGGTCACCAGAAACATTTTGACTTAGCGTTTCTGACATATGGTCAGAAGAAACATTTTGACTTAGCGTTTCTGACATATGGTCAGAAGAAACATTTTGACTTAGCGTTTCTGACATATGGTCAGCAGAAACATTTTGACTTCTTGAGAGCAACATTATTGACTGACTCCAAACTTGATACAGAATTGTTCCTGTTTAGGGTGATCAAGTGTTGTTACTTTTTGTGCCAATCCACAAATCAAAGATGGCCAGCATGGCCTCTAGATATTTTTAACTTCTCAAGAATAATTTCAGTGATTGACTCCAAACTCAATAGAAACATTTCCTGGAATGTCACCACCAAGCATTCATACTTTTCTTTTTGATTCAAAATTTAAGATTGGCCTTGGTCTCTGATTGGCTGAGAATTTAAGATTGGCCTTGGTCTCTGATTGGCTGAGAATTTAAGATTGGCCTTGGTCTCTGATTGGCTGAGAAAGTTTTATTTTCTTTCAAAACAGCTTCGATGATTGACTCCAAACTTAGTACAAATGTGTGTGTGTGGGTTCAACCAAGTGTTGTTAGTTTTTGTGCCAATATAAAAAATTCATGACAGCTTCCCTGGCTTCTAGTTGGTACACCTTGCCCTCTGATTTGAAGAGACATATACAACTTCAAGAATGGCGGCAGCAATTGCCTGGAAACTTGTTACAAATGTTCCTTATGTGGTCCTAACCAAGTGTTAATACCTTTTGCGCCAATCTGAAAATAGATGTCTGTTATGGCTTGTGGTTGGCTCAGACATTTTTGACTTCTTCTCTGCAATGGCTGCAGGGATTGACATGAAACTTGAACAAACATCCCAAACAAGTGATATCACTTTCCGTGCCAATCTGAAATTCCAAGATGGCTTCCTTTTTTACTTTTTTCAAAACTGGCTGCAGCGATTGACTTCCATACAGAGTACAAGTGTTCCCTTTAAGGTTATCACCTAGTTTTCTTACATTTTGCACCTATCCAAAATTCCAAGTTGACTGTCCTGGCATCTAATTGGCTCAGATGTTTTCTATTTTTCACTAGAAGAGCTGCAACAATTGACAGCCTTTTGGGCCTCTTGTTCTCTTTTATTCTTATTTTAACATAAACAAGAGAAAAAAAGACATTTTATTAATAATTTGGTAAATGTTTTTCTACAAATAAAACTATATTTGTGTTCCCATTACATCTGGTTAAAATTAGGATTGAGAGTTAGGCAAATCTTTTAGGCAATAAGCTTTTTGCAGGAAGAAGTGTTCTTTTATTATAAACAAAAAATGTTAAACATAAAAATAGGCAAGTAAACAGTTTATTTTTAGGATTAGAATGTATAAACACCTTTTATGTGACTATACATTTTATATACAAAAGTTACAAGTCCTGTTAAGTATAAGCAACATTACTGTGAATTAGCAAATAAACAAAAAAAACAGTTGTAAATAAATGCATTTACGTGATGTTTCTGTTTGTGAATTCCTATCATAGTAACAAAATCATATTTCAGATTTAAAAGATGTAAAAGATGTTTTGGACCCCATGTCAAAGGTCAAATCTGGACTGATTGCTGATGGGAAGGAAGTCAATCCAGTGGAACTTACGGGTGTGAACGTGTGTGGCAAACTGATGGATCTAGTGGCAGAGGTAATCGCCTTAGTTTTGTTAGCTTTGAAATGTTGAAATTTTACTGCAAGCTGGTTAGTTTTGAATGTTTTTTCCATATGTATTTCCTTTAACTGAAATATCATATTTATTGTATGTTTAAGATATTTGAAGGTATATTGTATATTTGCGTTCTTTAAAACACAAGATTAAATATAGATTTTTGTCAAAGTCGTGATCAATGTTCAAGTTGTGATCAGACCACACCACACAACTGTCAAACCTTGTTATGCTCAAATTGTGATCAGACCTACACCACACAATTGTCAAACCATGTTATGTTCAAGTTGTGATCAGACCTACACCACACAATTGTCAAACCATGTTATGTTCAAGTTGTGATCAGACCTACACCACACAATTGTCAAACCATGTTATG